GTCAAGTCTTAACGGGGGAGGCATTGTGAAGGAGGATGAGGCTGGTGATGTTGAAAATGGCGAGGCTGTCTCACGAGGCTGTCCTATGTGTGTAATTGACGATGGGTGATAATTACGTAACCGACCACAGGTTCCGTCAAGGTGTTCACACTGCGTCTAGTGTTGTGGATGGATTCAAAACCCTGGCTTGGAGTCAGCCACAAAGGGCACAGACCGTCGTTTAGTGGGCGCCGAGGACGTTGAGAAAATCCGGCCAGCTGGGAAGGTGTGTGTGTCTCACTCTGCAAGCGACCCCAGGACGGAGAGTGCCGCTCGGCGGCAGGGTGTGTACCTAAGCGGTGGTACCGCGCAAATGCGTGGTCGCCGAACAGCAAGCAAGGCACACACACACAAGACAGTTCGTAGTCGTAACTAACAATCCTCTGTATGGTCACAATCGCACAGGTGTGAGCCGTTGATACGGTACCTTCCGCGCCAGCCGTTAGGGTAGGTAGTTTCGGTTTCAGGGCTGGTTGGAATCGTTCTTTTGTTGCGCGAGGTGGAGACGGTGGGATTCGGACGCTAATGTTCGGGCCTTGCGGGTTTTGCGGGGCCCCCCATGCCCTGGCTCTCGGGAATGAGGTGGAGCTTGCGCAGGAGGAGGAGGGGATGAGGAGGAGGAAAGGACCATAAAAAAAAATCCAAACCGAGAAGTCGGGGCCGAACCAGTTCGGCGTGAGGAAACCCCACCCCGCCCCGCTCCGGCAGGCATTCGTTAGTGCATTTCTTAGTGCGACGGCATAAGCCGACCAGTGTTGCGCTTTTGCAGTTTTGACAACTCTTGGCACACTTCTAAACCCCCCCCCCCTCACTCCTTCTCTAAGTACAATCAATATTTTACGAGATAGCGCATGCCTAAGAAAGAAGGTTCTTCGAAATGTGCCACGAAAACCGTCCTGCAAACTGCAGAGCTAATGCCAGCCCATCATCCGGGAACAGGTAAAAAGTCATTTCATCACGATCAACAGCCTTGCTTCAAAGCGGTGTGCAGTATCTGTATGTACAGTTGCACTTGGTGAGCGTTTGTCACAAGGGCAGAGTAGCATCGACTGATGCAGAGTGGTGGTTTGCAGTAGCCCGTCAACTAGTTTTCTGCGTTGTGTATGCAGCAACGGGAAGGGAGGAGAAAGCAGCTACAGCCTTGTCATGACATTTGCCGGGTCTCCCGGTAGTCAAAGAACTGTTCCATCCTACAGAGTACCTCATTCTGTTGTACAGGATAATCGTGAACTAGAGGTCCTTGCTCTTCAGGTACTCGGCATCTTCAATGTCATCCGGGTCAGGAAGCTCATTGGCACCCATCTCCTCCATCAGATTCTCAATCCTTACCTTCCTGCCGTTCCTGGATCTCCTCTGCTCAGGAGTCTTGCCGCGGGGATGCTTCTCATAGGCACCAGTGACACCAAACTGCGGGTGCACATTGATCTCCACCACCTTGTCCCGCTTCCTACCCGCCGCCTCCAGCGCCCGCCGGGAGCGCACGCCAGCATCCTTCACCACAACCGCGTCCTGCCCGGCCCTGCCAAGGCGAACGTTGCGAAGGGTGCGCGTCTTGGCGCCCAGAGCCCACAGGTCACCCCACTGAGCCTTGCGAGCGTCCCGGTACGCCTGCTTGGAGAACGACTTGGACACCACCCACCGCTCAATCGTCGCCTGCGGTGTGCAGACATCGAGTGTAACATGGCCGTGGCGCTTCAGCGGTGGGAGGATGTTGCGGGGTAGCGAGAGCGGATGGGGCTTCTTGCTATCTTCCGCCTCGTAACCCTTGAAAGCGAGATCCGAAGCCTCCTTGCCCTGCACGTAGACGGGTGCGTTATCAGAGGTGATGGTGGTCAACGGGCCGGCATCGAATGACACGTCAGCAGCAGCAGAAGCAGCAGCAGCAGCAAAATCTGCCGACGGCGTATGCCCTTCTGGGTAAGCACCCCTGCGTACCGCGACATAGCTGAAGGCGATATCTTCATGGCTGCGCCGAGAGGCTCCAAGAATCTGCTGCAGGAAGGGAGGCCGGATGTAGCGCTGTTGGAAGTGGCAGAAATCCTTGCGGCCGGGACTGAAACCGGGCTGGTGGTACATGGGGCACTTTTGGTGATTGGTGCAAGGTGCGATGATCATGCCGGGCTCACGAACGTGCTGAGACGAGGTCCGGACTTCGTCAGCGTGAGGCTCCGAATGGGGTGCGAGGATAAAGTTGTCCAAGAGGCGGTCTCTAGCGTCGGCTACCGCCTCGAAGCCTCGCGGGTGCCCCTTCTCCAGGAGAATGAGCACACCACCTTCCGGATTGAGCATCTTCCAGAGGTTGTCCAACATGTCCTTCCGCTTGTACTCCTTGTCCAGCGGCATCAGCAGGTGGGACGCAATGATGACATCGTACTGCTTCCGCGGCGCTGGCTTGTCACCGACGCCCATATCGTGCTCATTGGCTACATGCAGATAATCCGGCAGACGGGGCAAGAAGGTCGTATTGTGCAAGAAGCGGGACACGCGATGCCGAAGGTGGTCGTTGCCGACGACCGTTGTCTTCTTTCCAGGGGGGTACCGATCCGAAACCTCGCCGTTTTCACGAAGGATGTCCCATTCAGCTTGAAGCACCTGCTGCCAGGCTGCCAGGGCGGCACCACCAGCGCCAACATCCAGCACTCGGGGGCCGCCATCTCGGGCGAGCAAGCCCCTTAGCCACTCAGGTCCCAGCCTTTTCCTGACCTCCACCAGAGTGCTCATAGCCGTGGCGTATACGGCAGGCATAATGGTAGCGAGGAACGTATCAGCCTCAATCTCCGACATCCAGCCAACGCCGGCCTGCAACCCCAGCCCCTTTTGCGGAACGTTCACCTTTGACCGAGGTGATCCCGGACCGTGAGGGAAACCAGGGCCACCGAGATTCTCCTCCCCGCACTGCCTGATGTGTGTGGAATCCGTGCGCTTCAGGAGCGTGCTAATCGGCTCAACAAAGCTGGCCTTTGGCAGGTAGATGGTGCTCGGTGAAGTCTTGAACTTGCCCATCGAAGTGAACGGATGCTCCCTGGTGTCGCGAGACTCGTCCACCTCGAATTCCGTCCCGGGGTCGTACTCATCGTCCTCCTCAATCTCCTCCTCTTCCCTTGGATAGTCCCGCTCGGTGATGCCTTCGTCCTCGCGGATTTCTTCGTGAATCTCATCCATTGGCTGAAGTGCGGCAGCTGCCTCAAAATCTCGTTGAAGCTTTATCAGAGCATGGTATTCGCGCGAGTTGTTGGCCGTGATATTGAGGTAGTCGATATGTGCATCACTGAGTACTGGCTGGTTCTGCTCAGCTTGTGCCTCGAGATCGGTAGCTTCCTCGGCCAGCTCCCCGGGGAATCCAGGCTCTGCAGTGTCTGCAGCCTCTACAGCACCCCCGGGTACCGCTGGGTTGGTCCTGTACTGGACCTGTTCGTAGTCTCCATGTTCCGTTTCCCTGAACAAGGCGTGCTCGGGCGTCGTTTCGTCAATGGCCTCTCCATGCTCGTCCCTGAGCGGAAGGCCAACATCCTCCGGTGCCGTCTCGCGCAGTGGCGGTCCGTATAATCTTTCGTATACCTTGTACTCTTCTCCTGAGAAGTAGTCCTTGGGTAACGTGTTTCCAAATGTTTGCCTCGCCTGGCGCACAAGAAGTTCGATCTCTTCTGCTGTTGCTTCCCCTGATCCTTCTACTGTTTGCGCCTCCTTCTCTGCTGACTGCGATTCGGTATCCTTTTCGGTCGGCGGCACCTCGTTGAACACCCGTTTGGTCGTCGAGAATGGTCTGACAGGGTTTGGTTGTCGAGATCTCGAACTGAGAGCTCTCGAAGCTGCTGTGACTGGCGTCGCGCGCGGGCGGACAAACGGGCGGGATGCAATATTGCGCGGCTGCAAGAGAGCATCGTAGAAGCCCAGAACCTGGGCCCGGCATCCGGGACACCTGTTATGGAGTTTGCTGGCCGAAAGCATGGTCGTCCGTTGTGCTGCTTGTGTGGATGTCAATACTAAGGTGTTTTGGGAGGTTCGAGGGGCAATCGTCATGGTGAATTTTCAGAGCTTTTGGAGGGGTCCAAGCTCGAGCGAGGGGCGAAAAGATCCCGAGCTTCAAAATCCTACCCCACCCCTGTAGCCTTGGGTATTCCAGCAAATTATTAGTGTCTTGAGATGACAGATGAACATTATCCTCGTGATGAGTAGAAATATCGTACTTCTTTGTAGGAGTTGACGGCCGGAATCTTTTCCCCCTTTACCACATTACCACAACAACACATTTCCATCTGCATCTGCATGTCCTTTTTTTTGGGTCAATACCTCTTTACATCATTGACAGGAATGCAGCACATCACCAAGTCAATCAAATGAACATTACCAATATGTACAGCTCGCTTGCTCTAAACGCCAAATCCCTGATCTGTTACCATTTCCTTGCAAAAAAAAAAAAACATCACTCACTCCCCAAATCATTCAACGTCTTGAACGTAGCCCGTCCAGCCGGCCTCCCACCAGGCCCAGTCGCCGGCTTGGCCGCTGGCGGCGGGTTCTTCTTGTTAAACCGGGACGCTTCTGCCGACTTGTAGGGGTCAAGCTGCTCATCGTTAGCAATCACCCAACCTACAACCCTAGATATCCTGCTCAGACTCACCGAAAGCAACGAAACAAAATACAAGCCCAAAAAGCTCAGCACGGCATTAACCCACTGACTAATATCCCACGAAATCGGCCTCGCAACCCTCTGCCCCGAACCGACTCTCTGCCCCCCAACCGGCGTCCCACCCAATCTCTGACCGCCACTGCTGAACGACGACCCCCCTACCGCCCCAGGTCCAGCAAGCTTGATCGCCGCCTCAACAGCCGACGTAAGAGCAGGTGGGTTGGCGCCTTGAATAGTCTTGATGACGGAGCCATTGTGCAAGATCAGGAAGGTGGGCATGGCGCGCACGCCGTATTGCTGGGCGACCTCGCCTTGGTTGTCGACGTTGACTTTGACGAACGCGATCTTGCGGGGCTTGGCGTACTTGTTGGCGAGAGACTCGAAATGGGGGGCTATCATCTTGCACGGACCGCACCAATCGGCGTAGACTATACAGTGCGAAGATGTCAGATCATGGTGATGGTGGTGGTGATGATGATTATGATGCGCGGCGCAATGGTGGAGGGGCACTTACAATCAGCGACAACCACGGCATTGCTGCTGACGGTGGAGCGCCAGTCGGCGGCGGATGTGATTTGATCAGGCATTTGGTTGTGATGAATAGCAATCAAGAGTCTCTGTATGATATCAAAAAGAACTCTTCGTTTAGGCTTGGATGAAGTTGTATGATTTACGCGTGGAAGTTGTTGGGATAAGGTAGGCAGTCAGCAGCATCGCGACACTGACGACATGCGATAAGGATTGCGACGGGAAAGCTGTCCTTATCGGCACTTGCCAGGAGGCAGGGTTAGGGTTGACCCGACAATTTGGGTGGCATCCCAAGTGGGATTGAGAAGGCGGTCAAGTTTTTGGAAGCTTTCTGCCGTTAGCTCTCGGGGGGTGTCTGAAAACTTCTTGTAAGCTGCAACTTTGACCATCATCAGCCATTTTCACCATAATTTTGCTCCAGTATCTAGTTTTTGATCTTGTGAAGCAATGTCGAGCTGGGAACCACAATCCAAAGTACGTCGAGTCCATTTTGCGAATTTCCCTTCATGGGAGACGAAGCTTTTTCTCTAGAGTCGCATACTGGGCGCAATACATCTCACTGTACATTGTAACTGGACACGCAACTAACAACGCACAGAAACGCCGGTTGGACACTGACTCCGGTATTGGAAATGGCATCCTCAACACCAAAGAGCGTTTCAAGCCTACAAGCGCTAGAGACTGGACCATCTCGATTGCCGTACCTACCAGCATAATCACCAGGCATGTCTCACCTTTACTCTTCAAACCCTGCTCATGAGACTGACAATCCCGATAGCTGCGTAACAAGAGAGCAAAGGACAACTGCTGCGGGCTCTATCGCCAGAGCGCTTGCCATTTTCTCGGTGGACGAGGTCGTCATCTTCGACGATAGCCCGATTGAACAACGCCCCAGGAACTTTGATCCAGATGCGTACACCGGCGACATAGAACCAGCACACTTTCTGGAGCATCTGCTGAACTATCTGGAAACCCCACCATTCATGCGCAAAGTTCTGTTCCCCATCCACCCCAACCTCAAATCTCAGGGCCTGCTGCACGGTCTGGACATGCCACACCACCCCCACAAGGATGAGTGGCTGCCGTATCGCGAGGGTCTGACTCTCGAAGCTCCTCCACGGTCAGGCAAGGGGTAGGTTTTCACACACCTCAAATTTGCACTTGACTATCACTAACAACACCCAGCACCGCCGTCGACATTGGCATGCCCGAAACAGTCACCATTTCCGAAGACATCCCTCCCAAGACCCGCGTAACCCTCAAAATGCCCGACGACGCCCAAGGCAAGCCCGAGCCCGTCAACCCAGCCGAACCCAGAACCGAAGGCGGCTACTTTTGGGGCTACAGCGTGCGCAAAGCCAAGTCCCTCTCCGACGTATTCACCTCCTCGGCCTACGAGGACGGTTACGACCTCTCCATCGGCACCTCGGAGCGTGGCGTTCCGCTTTCAAAGGCTTTCCCTAACCACAACCAAACTGCTACTTTCAACCACATGCTCATCGTGTTTGGAGGGCCAAGAGGATTGGAGTTTGCGGCGATGAACGATCCTGATCTGGGGCAGATGGGGATTCAGGGGGCGAGGACGAAGGAGCTGTTTGATCACTGGGTGAACGTGCTGCCGAATCAGGGGACGAGGGGGATCAGGACGGACGAGAGCTTGTTGATAGCTTTGACTGCGTTGAGGAGGTTGTGGGATAATAGCTGAGGGGGTTTGATGGGGAGGAATTTGCTTTTTTTTTAGCGGGTTTAGAATAATGATTTATTTCTGGTGTATATCTGGTCTGGGATTGCTGAGATACCTATCCCAGTTCTCTTGTTCTTGTGAGTTATATTCTCAAAGCATATCTACAAGCCAAAGCTCCTATGGTGCCATTGATGGTTTTCGGGTTTAGCTGAAGAAGTGGCGCAAGACACAGCCTTGGCTTACCCTCTATCTCATCCCCAAGGCTTCGGACGAACTCAACCTTTTTTACTCCATCTTACATCTTGGTTTCTTCTTTGTCGGGCTACACAAAATGCCAGCTTGACATTTTACCCCTAACAGAGTAAGCCAGCAACCATCACTCCCAACTTTCTGATCCAGTTAACGGAACGCACCCATAGAACCACACCCCTTCTTCTTCTTCTTCTCGAAGGATACGACTAGTAGCACAGCCAACCCCGCAAACCTGCCCTTCTTTGGCCAAAGTTGGTAAGGAAGAAACTTGAGATGCAGTCATCCTGCAGGGTTTGGGTTGGGACCATGTTATGATAGATCGAGTAAGGTCGGGGGCTCGGCAGGCTCGGCAAGGGAGACCACCGCGCCCCCCCCCATCTTCTACAGATTTGTTGATGTCTCATTTATCTTGTACTACTGCGAGACACAGGTTGTATAATAGAGAGTTTCTTATCCCTTTTCTGAATAAGAACATGAGAAAGCAAAGGAGGTGGGTAGGGGATCTCCTTTGGGGTTTGCAATTCCTTTCTAGGGTCGGCGCGAAGGTAACAGAGATATGTTGAAAGTTGTGACCTATCTTTGGAATCTCCGCTTGGAGATCTAGCAGCTGTTGGAGGCGATACAGAGGTGCTAGTGGGTGTGGTTGTTGGTTTGAGGGGAGGAGGACATGTGAGGTGAGCGGGCAACTTTCTGGTACCGGGCTACCGCTAAGGGGTTGGATGGGATCAATAGTTTCGTTTTTTTGTGTTTGTTGATTGGTTTTTGGACCCTGAAGAACCTTGCGTATTGCTTTAGAACGCTTGATTTGTCAAGTGGTATTAGCCTGTCGATACCAAGCAGTTCATATTGTACTGGTGGGCTCGAAGTTGGATAAAGACTAGAGACCCTGTCCTCTCACGAGGAGGACAACAACTAACTCCGTAATTCCGGGCTAGAGACATGTCGTGGTACAGTCTGGAAGAACGAGCAGGATCTGACAGATTTACAGTTGACCAAGGCTGGAAGAAGATCTTCAGGATACAGATGGCAGGTAATGTTGTCAGCCGAGTTCACCAATGACTACTGCAGTTGGGCAGTAATAAGCCGCTGGTGTTCGACGCATGCTAATCCTACCAAGAGGTCAAAGCGGGAGTCTACTGGGTTGACATAAGGGTTGGCATTTCATGATTTAGGTAATTGGTGAGAGTCGCTTAGAAGTTTTCCGAGTCCACCAACGAGGAGATGAAAAATGACTTTTCTCTGACAGATCTTCAGGGACTTGATGTAGCTCCTCCTCGACAACCACCTCAACCGAAACCGAGGCAAAGAAATACAAAAGGTTTGACAGCCCCAACACATCGGTAGCGAGCCTTGGGCTTGTTGAACCGAATCCGGGGTAGACACATGTGGGCTGTCATCAAGGCCAACTCAAGCCACGGCGTCATGTCGTAACACCCTTACATTACCGAGCAACCTGTCCTCCGCCGGCCAGCCTCCGTGTTATTCACAACGGCCATTCCCACACACGCATCCCTCGGGATGCGAGGCGGGGGCAGTAGCGGTGAGCTGCTTTCCCAACAGAGAAAAGCCTTCGGAGGTTTTGTTGGTGATATTATGCAACACGTCGGCAGATGAGCACATCTAAAGATGCAGCTTAGGGGCTCAGTAACAAAGATCAGTCGGGTCATCCAGAGCCATGGCTGTGGGTACGGTACCACTCCCGACGTTCCGATTTCTTCGAGAGCGGCACACACGATATCGCCAATCTCATCCCGTCATGTTGGGCTGTCTCGGTTATCTCATCCGTCGCAAGAGGTGTGGCTGATTATAGAGAATAATAAGTGCCTTTGACGGCCAGCTCTAGCGGTCCAGAGATGAACATGATTGCCACTGTGTGTTTGTGTGTGTAGCCAGGTTGTCCCGCCAAAAAAGGGGGTCAAAACAAATCCCACCCACCACCCCAAAGCTAACTCGGGCTCCGAATGCTTATCTACCGGGATGCGCACCTAAACACCCACAACCAACCAAATTTCGCCACCCAACACCTCCTATCTCAAGTCTATCAAAACAAAATACCATCAACTTCAACAGCAGCAAAACATGCATCTCGAAAAAGCCCAAAAACATACAACACCGAGGATTCCCCAGTGGTCACCCACCTGAGTACTAGTTCGGCACTCGACTGCTTATCTAGGGGAGAGCGGACGGGATCCCGAGCTTTCAGTTGGTTATGGTCGTATGTGAAAGTCATGGTTAGACTGTCGGCTTATAAAAGGACAAGCCATGCAGTGCTATCTTGAGGTGGGTGTTGTTTTGCTGTGTCAGGAGGCAAGTGGGTTGTTCTTGCGGGACAGGAGAGATTTGTGGAAAGAGGATAGGCAGCATAAACAGATGGCTTGAGAAAGCCGCAATAAGAGGGTGAACGCCAGGTAATGTCATGTCATGTCTTTTGCCTTCCATGCCTCACGGTCCGTCGCCGTGAGGAAGGTGCTAGCCATGGTGATTTTTACCACTGTGGGAGGGAACACGTCATTTCAAGAAAGGGGAAGTCAAGTAACAGGATGCGGTGCAAGTTTGGCCCTCTAATTTGCTGTGGTCTCCGCTTCATCTTTGAATTGCAACTCGAGAATGATGGTGGCCAGTGGGCATCATACATACCTAGAGCTGGCAGTGTAGTGAAGGTCAGCGTGAAAATGCCTACCGCAACTCCCACTTAATAAAGGGTGGCAGCTGCAAAACCGGGTCGATTGACTCGGTCGATGTTCTTGAAGCATATCGTCGAGCTCCTTCCTTTGCTCCCCCTGGGCTGTGAGGTATTGACCCTTCCTGTATCATGCCATCACCCCACTCCACGGACGCAAAGACAACCAGCTTCAGACCCCTTTGAACTCTTCCTCGTTCAACTCCCGCTCCGCCACATGCCCATCCTTCTCGAGCTCGATAGCAGGGGCAAATATCGACACACAACACATCACGCTTAGCGACCGGTTTATCCACGACAACTGTTTACTGTATAGCTGTATTCCTTCCACCATGGCTCAATGTGTTTGCAGAGGAGAGGATAGGCGGCCAGGGCCAAACGGGAGATGCGTAGGTTGCAGTGTAAGTGCCCAATACAATGACTCGACTTTGAGGCCGTCGGAGGTCAACACTGACATGTTCTTGCTGGGATTTAGGAACGAATAAATCCGGCCACACGACCGGCATGGAGCCCGTTACCGCCAGTCCCGCAGCAGCAGCCGTTACCTCCACCAGATCCGCTACAGTGGCCGTTCCTACATCTGCAGCCGTTGGCACCGGACCCGCTACAGTGGCAGCTCCTCCAGCAGCAGCTGGTACCGCAAGTCCCGCTACAGAGGCAGCTCCTACAGCAGCAGCCATTACCGCCGGACCCGCCACAAGACAAAATAGCCAAGGCCATGGGAAAAGCCAAGGCCTACGAGAAAGCTGTGGCTGACAAGATCTGCCCATGTTCGCTCCCAGAGATCGAGTGCAAGGTCAAACTACCGCTCCGTTGCACAGGAGTGATAGTCGCACAAGGCCGCACAAACCAGGTGTGTAGCTATAGGCCATGCATCGATGCAGTATGCTTTCACTCCTTATCAGCGGAAAAACCACGAAGTGACTAATTAGTTTGGTGTAGTGCTGCCGGCGACGACCGCGGAAACCTAAATTGGCAAGTGCAGAAAAACCTCGTGTACTACATCCTTGCCATTGTTTGGAGGTGATCAAACGTGGTGAGAAATGCTATGCCGAAGGGAGGTGTGAGCAGACATCCGACCGTAGTGGCTGGTGTTGTTCGGCGTGTGGGCCCAAGAAACCTGGGAGAAATAGCGCGGTAAGATGGGTTTCATGCATCTCGAGGTGCTTTTTGCATATCTACACACATTTTAACTTCTGAATATAGGACTGTGCTGCCAAAAGGTCGTCTAAAAAGTTGAGCGATCGTAGACAGATCTGGAGACCAGAAGGATCCGAACAATGAAAAGCCTCCAGAAGTAGCGATTATTCTGTAAAGCGATAGTTTTGGGAGTTTACGAACAAGTCGGGATCATTGGGGCCTGGAAAGGCGCAGGTCCTCCTTGAACTTCGTCTAGTGTTTAGAGATAATAGCAAGAGCGCTTAACCCGCTAGTCATCAGCACATAGTATCGTTTTGGTGCTGTCACGGTCGTGCACACTGATTACCACCAACATCTCAATCTACCCCTGAGGCAGACCCCACCAAAGTAAACAAAGCAGTGTTCCACCACCCCGATCATCGCCTGCATGCATCAGGTGGCAAGGAAAACAGACGATACCATAAGATCAAAGGTCAAAATGTTGGGCAGACGGAAAAAGAAACTACATATTTGGTAAATGACTGTCGTGCTATGTGATGTATACACCCTAAAACCCTCCTCAACACACCTCGGTCCCATCAACAACCCCCTCCTTTCCCCAACTAAAAGACAATATCCAAAAAAAAAAAAAGACAACACAGAAATGATCAAACAAGAAGTCAACCACCCCCCTTTTCCCCATCTTATTACATACAAACACCCCCACCCCGCCTTACGCACCACTATCAATCTGCGGCACAACATTAAACCTCGTCCACCAATCCCACGCCTTGCAATTCCGCTCCACATCCCTCGGTATCCTCAGCCAGTCCACCTTTTTCGGTTCCACCACCAAGTTCGCCAGAAAGCCACCACTCGCGTGCCAGACGATGTGGCAGTGAAACGACCAGATGCCCGGGTTCCCGTCAAACTGCATGACGAGATGGCCGTTGCCCCGGACGATGTGGACGTCCCTCCTGTGGGGGTTGGAAGGGCGGGTGATGATGCCGTCCCAGTCGCCTGGCCCTTCGTGCAGGATGTAGGGGTTGTGGCCGTGGAGGTGCATTGGGTGACTTTGGGGAGAAATGTGAGCTACGGGGGAAGGGGGGGAGAGGAGGGAAGGAAGGACTTACGGTCCGGCGGAGCGGTTCCGCACAATGATCCGAACTGACGAGTTGCTGTAGTAGTTCACCACGTTCCACTCTCTCGGAAAGGTGAAATTCCCCTCGTTTGCGACAAGCAGGACAGGTTCATTGTAGTGAGTCCTCATCGAGACGCCGTTGAACTTCCACAGCGTGACGTCGGACGCGTTCTTGAAGAGCTCGATTTCCATCGTCTGGGTGTATGTCGGTTTGGGGACGGCCATGGGGTACAGCGGTTCTGTCTTGGCCAGGTCTTCGTTTGTGCAGGAGGGGTCCTCGGGGATGTTCCACGCTTGGCTGGTGGGCGCCTTGTCTGTGTCTGCCTTGTCGTAATACACCGCTGCTACGGCGTTGGGTTGACGGTTGGGGGAGCAGTTGGTCAGGTTGGAACGCATCCAGAAAGCCGAGTCAGGTTTGCCGACATTGGCGGTCACGAGGACGTCGGTGCGTTGACCCACGCCGAGGATGACCATGTTGGTTTTGTATGGCTTGACAGGGGTGAAATCTTCTGCGATGACGGTGAAGGTGTGGCCGTCGATGGTGAAACGCTGGACGCCATCGCCACCGGTGTTGACCAGGCGGAGACGGTGGGTCTTGCCGGTTTGGAACCTGAACTTGGAGATACCAGCGTTGTTGGTGCAGGGCGTCTTGTCCCCCGGGGCAACAGTTGAGCAGTCAAAGTTCATCTTGCCATTGATCAGGTTGTTGTCTGACACCACACGAGGGCTGCCGTTGGGTTTGAGCATCTCTTCGACGATGTCATGGTATTCCTTGTGATACCAGTCTGTAAAAGAACACCACTGTTAGTGATTGTGCTGTGATATTTGACAGATGGAGGCATACCACTCAGAAGAATGGGACCAAGATCAACGTCGTACTTGGCCTGAGTAGGACCATGAATGACCATCGGTCCAACAATACCACCAGCATATTGAGCAGAGTAATGAGCATGATACCACGTCGAACCGTACAAGCTGGCAAGAAATTCGTATCGATAACTGGTTCCGGGCGGGATAGGGCATTGCGAGATACCCGGTGCTCCATCTTCCCATGGGGTTTCTGTTTGCAGGAAGCCGTGCCAGTGAATAGCCGTGCCGTCTTCGGGGTTGGTGATGTTGTTCCTCACATTGACAACAATCATGTCACCCCAGTTTGCTTCGATCAAAGGCCCAGGAAAGGCACCATTGACAAGAAGAACTTCGCGTTCATAACCATCTGGGGCGATGAGCCCACGGCTGATTGTGAAGTCGTAGTATCTCGTCACGCCCGTGTGTGGGTTTTCGACATAAGGGTTGGTCCCCGAGTCTGTGAGCTTGCCCCATGGATAGCCGTCAGGAAGAGGGTTGTTGGTAAGCATGAAAGGAATCAGTGGGAATAATAACGTCCCAAGAAGAGAGGCGCTGCAGTTGTCATGTTAGCTTAACCCCTATTGCCCGTTGATTCTCATCCTGCTCACCCATTTGTCCTCTTCTGAGGTAACGCCGGTTTGGTATTAGAAAGGGCCAGGGCAGCAAAGTTGGTAAGCCCCTTGACTATGCCAATGACACCCATGACGAGCAACTGAATGGGAGAGGGAGAATGGACAAAGAGAAGCCCGACCCGGCGACAAAAGAATGACTGGAAAGGAAGTCACACCGCTGCTGAAGACTCGAGAGAAGGTTTCCGCTGTCTGAGAGAGACACTGGGTACTTAAACTGTCTCGAGGGCGTCTGTGAGCATGGGCCACAGAAAGGCCTTGAACTGTGAGACTTGGTCGTCGTGACGCCAATGGCGTCTCCCCCTGCGCAGCCACATGTCGTGAAGTTCACACGGCAGAAGAATAGCGCAGCCATTGCCAACCCCGATCAACTCCGGTGTTGCCCTTCTGGTGGCTGCCCTGCTCTCCCGAACCCCAATCCCTGCTCTGACGGGCGTCGCTGAACCGTCGACGAGGTGTGTTGGACAACGGACCTGAAAGAGGGCAACCAAGACAATGGACCTGGACTCAGTATTGATATCCCTTCGGGTGAGGGTTACCGCCCAGTCGGTGGTCGCATGCTGTGGTCGGGGAGGAGTGCTTCGGCGATGTAGGGATGATGCCAAGCCATAAGGGGCTAGGGGGCTTGAGAGCAATGAGGGAGAGTTGAGAAAACGGGGGTCTCCGCCCCGCTGGGCTGATCGCACCGTCCGATCACCCGCATGCTGCAACGGGGGGGGGGAGGGGGACGGTGATCCCTTTGGTGGCGCGGGAAGAGCCCATGAGCTGAGTGCCAAGAGGCCTATCGCAGAGCCGCTCGCCTCTGCAAGGGCTTTGGGCAGGTCCGACCGCCAGGGCGATCATCATTGACAACCTCAGAATGTTTGTGACAGAGCTGCTGTGTCTTGGTGGACGCGACAGATGTGAACAGATTCGATGCTGAAAAGGAAGTCAGCATGATCATTCGTATCCGTTTTGGTCCACAGTCGTCCACCTTTCGAGGTCACTCGCTCGGCGAGTTACACACTCCCCAATCTCCAGGGTTCGAATGCTTCCATGATTACAACAACCACCGTCGCGTAGAATTAACTTCTGGACGAGACCTTGGCTTCAAAACTTTCCGAGCTGGTTTTTTTTGCAAGTCCGTGCCAAGTTCAGGGTTCGGAAGAATTACCCGAGGGTTCGGCACTGGTGTAGAGTAGGGCGCTGGGATGACGGCATGGATGGCTGAAGTAGTGAGGAAACAAGCAACTTCGAGATCATGTGGCGGCGAACCAAAGGGCGCTGAGTGTTGCAATGATTGCCTCGTGCGGGCAGAGTTCCTGCTGGACGGGACGCTGCAGTGCAGCGTCCTTAAAGCGGAAGGCGTACACACCAAGAACGAAATCAATACACCAAGGCCTTGGAAGCACCACTGCCGCAGAACCAAGTATATCTTCGGCATGATAAGTGTTTCAGGAACTCCTAGAGAACATGGTAAACATCCGGTGGCTTCCTGGGTGGCTTTCAGGTCGTCTTGACGTCGCCATGTCGTTGGAACCACTAGCTGAAGAGGGCTCTTCGTGATGGTGGTTGCATATCTCATTCCATTAGTCCTTGTGAAAGCTTCGGCCGAGCTGTGGCTGCTCAAAAACTAGGGCTCGGACTTGGGCGGGAGGTCGGACACGGACTGAAGGCCGCTTGTGGTGTCTCAGTCGCAACGTCCCACGGCCACCAGGATACCCTCATCTCCATCGTGCAGCCAGATGTTCGTCTATGCGTCCATAGATGAATTGTTCGTTTTCCATGCAACACGGGCAGTTGCTTGCCTTGCTGTGCGAGTAGGTTATTCAGGCTGGCGTGGAAAGATGGACAGATCGATAGAGACTCCACGCAAGGCGTTGACGACGACCATGACAGGAACCAAGCGATCCTCAAGAAAGGGGGTGCGTTCAGCTGCTGTCAACCATCGAGCTGCCTTAGTGTCTACAGGTGTCAGTTGCGTCTGCAGGCGGCGGCCTGCTTCGACGTGAAGAGACGACGGACGGCAGTTGACTGTCTGGGGGAGACGAGCCTATCGATTTTGGAGATCTTCCCTGCAGCAGCTAGCCTATGCTTCCCTCGGTAATTAACAGTCCAGGGATGCAGGTTAAAATTGTCCGACAAACCAAGATACGGCGGTGCAACACAACAGGTCTCTTCCGTTCCGGGACGAAATCGAGCTTCTGGACTTTGCCCGCCCAACACTCCAAATCGCTGTTTCACACACTTCGTATTTCCGAGAAGAGAACAAAAGACCACGCGTAGAAAAAGAACAGCACCTCGATGGTGACACCACAAAAGTGCGGTCAAGTGTAAAGTGCGAAGGGACAGGTTCTCCGGCAGCATTCCTGAACAGTCGAAGAAAGTCAAATGTGTGTAATTCTGCATCCTTGGGTCAGTCAATGCCGTCACCATCTCCTCACCTCCCAGCGCCGCTGACGAGGAGTTGGCCGAATGGTTGGTCGAGTGCAAAGAATTAATTTGGCCAGTGATAATCCGCAAAGTCTTGTGGTTCCAGAGATTTTGCTTTGATCCTGGCTAAGTTTGGTAATATTCTCAATATCAGAGTGCTTCCCAGCTGCACAGACATGGTGATGTATAGCACAATAGCCCGGGGGTGCCCACCCTCTCCAAAAGCCTTCCCATCTCGCCCCACCGAGCGATCCATATATACAATGTGTCAATGACACGGACTTGGTGTTTTGTTTCGTTGTTTCTTGTTTCTTTAGTTGTCGTTGCTGCGGCGAACGGGTTGCTGATAAGGACGGAATGCGCTGGAGGCCATGATGATTGGGCGTCTTTGCGCGCGGAGGTAGGCCTCCTGAATGATGGGCGACGAATCCGACCGAATAACACTGCCGATCGACATGAAGAATCTGGGAGGCAAAGATGTGTTAACCACGATAATTCTCCAGACAGCAGCAAGACCGCAGCCTACCCGAATGTCGCGCCGGAACCCAGCATGTACTGGCCGAGTGTTCGCATGATGCCGTTTGGCCCTGCGCCATATCTGAAGATGTTGACGGTTCCTAGACTGAATTAGACATCATCTCAAAATGCTCAGTGGCCGAAGCGGCAGCGCATACCAAAGATGAAGCCGATGATGCAGCCGACCGCTGTGCAATGCGATAGTTAGCGTTCTGAAGAGTGTTATTAAAAACAACTACTCGCCCAAGGCGGGAACTTACTGCCGCCCATCAACATTCCCATCTTGACTATTCCATCAAGTTAGCCTATAGCCCAATCCCATGTCCTTGTCGCTGCCCATCTCGGTGAGGGGTTGTTGGCATACACTTGTCGACGTTTGACTGTCCAACGCCATGCTGAGGAGGAGGGGGCATTTTGTGCTACTGGGGTGTTTAATCCGAGTCAACTGGTGGTTTCAAACGAGCTGCTGCTGTGCTAAAAGTCGAGACAGAAAACGGTCAAGGTGCAGCGCAAGCACTGGTGGTCAGATGCGATATCGACAGTTGGATGTTGCCGTGGGCAAAATGTGGGTGCACGGACGGGGATTGATGCTACTTCAGCCTTGCCGATGGAAAGCGGTCAGTTCTAGGCAAGTTGCAAAGTTACAATTATGACGGATTTCCCCGCTGATAGCTAACGTGGATAAATATTGATTAATCTGGGGGTAGCAGTGACGCTAGATGCTCCCTGCCATGTTATGTCATTGAACACATCGGAGAGCTTGATGATGGCATCTACAGATGTTTCATCATCAGGATATTGTTCTAGAAGGGTAAAGGAACGCAAATAACGTGATGGGCACAAAGCAAACGAGGAGCAGTCTTTATGTTCTCTCTCAAACTTCGAGGCGGCTTGAGGCGGGGGGAAACGGCATCAGACGCTCGGACCATTTTCAACTCTTCTGTTGTTGCAGACAGTGGCTTGTTGTTGAGATGCCCCCTTCCAAGCCAGTTCTCACGTGACATAGTAGTTCGTTCATGAGGGGCAGTCATGGTCACAAGTCCAAACTGCTATTAGCCCAAGTCAAGTCAGTTGGGATGACTGAGGGTCTGGAGAGGGAATCCAACAAGCTGTCAGCTGAAGCGTGTATAGGTATTAATAAATTAAGACGGACGGTACTGAGCAAATGCCCATCAAAGCAGTCAAAGACGACTCCAGACAGAAAAGCCAAAGGTGGCTTGAAAAACAGGGGACGCGTGCGCGCAGACCACCCTGCGGCCCGCATTCTGCTCGCTAAGCGCCTCTCGAGGGCCAACGCCCAGGCCAGGAGAGACCTTGCCTCAAATTCTCAAGGTTGTCAACCTCACCTCCTGGCGCAGTCGCATTCCGAAATCGTGCTTGCCACCCCGAACCCACTGCGAAAACCGGCATCGCTGCCAGCCTCGTTTCCCGTCTCTCTGCCCGTCTTTTGAATACGCTTTTCCACCGACTTACCGGGTGTGCGCGTCGGCTCTCGGCGCGATCCCATCTCCCGTCCCCAGACCCCCGACCGGGCCAGCACTTGCGCTTCGACGTCAGTGCTAATCTCGACAACTCCACACAACAAGGGCGGTTGCGACGACACCTCGCACCCTTTAGAGTGGGTCCGCTGCCAGAGATCAATCGCTCCTTCTTGTCGTCAACTCTGCTGAAGGCCGAAAGGGGCTTCTCATTCCAACTCGCCGGGGAGCTCGCCCGCGACAGCTCGCTGTCCTCCCCTCCCCCCCTCGTCGTTACCCGCCAACCGCCCCGACCATCGCCCACGCCGTCCCCATGACGGCTGTTGCGAGTCCCCCTAGCTTTCCAAACCTCAACCGACCGGGATGGATGAATGGAGGCCAGCTTCTTAACACGATCAATTCGGAAGATGCCAGAGGAGTGAACATGCCCATGCCTCGCAAAACTCTGCCGCGGTCAAACTCGTCGTCGTCGGTCTCGTCGACATCTTCCAACGGGTCGACATCCACCGTGACTTCCAATGCCAGTTCTCAAATGAACGGCGGTTCTGTGTCTTCCGCTGGCGACACGGGTGCGTGGCCAAACGGTGCACCACGCAAGAGGCCCCAGCAAAAGGGCCCATGGCCAAATCCCAAAACCGAAGGAACAAACGAATTTGCCAGAACATCATCGGTTCGACCACCCATGGCGAACGGGGTCAACGGTGCATCATCACTACAGCCACCACAATCGATACTAGCAACACCACAGAATCAACTGATGGCTCCCAATGGACTCCCACGAGGCCCTGATGGTGCCGCTTCAGGCCGGCAACCTGTCCTTTACTTGCTTTCTCTCAACGGCAGCTTCGAACGCAAGACCATCTCGGTTCCCTATTACCCCGACACCCTGCGTATTGGACGGCAAACAAATAACAAGACGGTCCCAACACCTGTCAACGGATTCTTTGACAGCAAAGTGCTATCCCGACAACATGCCGAGATTTGGGCCGACCCCAGCGGCAAGATTTTTATTCGGGATGTCAAGTCCTCCAACGGTACATTTGTCAACGGGAGCCGGCTGTCGCCTGAAAATAGAGAATCCGAGCCGCACGAACTGCAAACAGCTGACCACCTTGAACTTGGTATTGACATTGTTAGCGAGGATCAAAAGACCGTCGTTCATCATAAAGTCGCCGCCAAGGTCGAGCATGCCGGATTCATATCGCCGGCCAATAATGTGATGGAAATGAGCTTTGGAGACCTGGACCCTTCCAACAATCCAATGATGCAGCTCAGTGGTGTTCCATTCCGAGGCCGACCAACAAATCAGTCAGCAATGGCAGGGAGTCGCGTATCTCCGAGTAACGCTGGAGTTGCAGGAAACCTAGCTCAACAGCGTCCATACCATTGGCAGAGTATCACCACAGAACACATAATCAAGAGGCTCCAGGCATGTTTGTTCCCGAGTTTGAGGGAAAGCTAATCATCGCTAACTTTTACTTGCAGACCGAGATTCGGAATGCGAGACAGCAACAAGCTGATATTGCTAGAACAGGCCAATTCCTCAACGCTCTGCTATCCAAGGACGATGTCAAGAACTTGGACAAACCTGAAGCGCCAGAAGCCCCCAAGAGTTTTGTCAACGGAAATGTCTCTTTCCGATCCGATGGCGGGAAAACGAGGTTTTCCGACCCGCCAGCGCCTCCCCCGTCACAACCACTTCCAGAGAAACCAGATGCCGCTCGCCCTGGATCTTCCGATGTTGCGTCGCTGAAGCGAGGCCCAACAGAGAAGCCCAAACTCGCAAACATCTCACCCATTCTTCCTGATAACACCAATAGCCTCCGCATTTCGCAACTCACAGAACAGCTCAATAACGCCCAGAAGGCTCTTGACGAAACCAGCCAAAAAGCACGGGATTTGGAAGAAGAGTTGAACAGGGAGCGCGAGGCACGGTTACTGGTCGAGGGTCAGATGCAGAAGATGAACGAGGAGAGTACGCATGTGAAGGTCAATGGCTCTGCGGGCATTCCTCTTGTCAATGGTCATTCTGAACTCGACAAGGCCTTCAACCCCCCAGCGGAAACCCAAACACCAGCCGAAGTTGACCCGGTGACCGTCACCCCTGAACCAGGAAGTTACTCGCCGGTGGTCGATAAGACCGCGGCTATGGTAGCAGCATACCAGGCTCAAATCGATACGATGGCCCAGGAAATGGCCAAAATGAAGGAGCACATGGAGAGCTACCGCGCTCGGGCTGAGAAGGCCGAGGCTGATAGAGACGCTGGCAGCAAAACATTGGCAGAACTGGTCCTCCAGATTCGCCAACGCGACGAGGAGGATAAGAAGCGGGCAGCGGAGAAGCAGTCACGGTCACGGTCTAGGGAGGCCAGACGACGTGGCCGGAGCCAAAGCCCAAGGGCCGAGGAAAAGCTGGAGCACACTACCAACGGTAGCGCGACCAAACCCCACGCGCAGATCGACGGTGCGGCATCCGAAGCGGACGACGCTGAGGATATCTCGCCTGTATCGAGATCAGTCACAGTGAAGCCCAACTCGGTGGGCGCGTTGGCGGTGCAGGGTGATGGGCAGCGTCCTCTGGCGATAATACAAATACTACCGTACGCGACCGCGTTTGGGGTTGTGCTCTTTGGCATGGGGCTTATGGGGTACATCAACGATTGGCAGCTGCAACCGCACCCAAACCGGTAGATCAGGTTTGGGAGATGGCGGCGGCGCTGAGTCACACGACAAACAGTTTACAAACCAACTTGACGACCACCACCCAAGGACAACCAAAAAAGACATGATGATTATGAGCAAGAAAAGACAAATTTACAACCACAAGAACAACTTTTAATCGCCTCTCGCCCACCACGCCCTACGTACCTATTTTCTGAGCTTTTTTTGGGGGGAAGATGACGACGGAACGGAACTGGACTTCTTGAACCTTGGGTTTTCCTTTGTCACACAACAACATTTTTTGGAACGTATAAACTGGTACTCTTCGGCTTTTTTATGTTTTTTTTTTTAACGTAGCGTTTACACCGACACAAACACGCACTCTCAACAGCGGGTTCGCAGCCAATCAACTTCTCTTTTTTCTCTCTGTTATAACTGCTTTTTTCTTGTTCTCCAATGAAAATCATTTTTATTCTGTACATGTAACAACCTTTGAATTCTAGGCGTCTCGATTTTCTCGGCTTGTTGCAAATCTATGTTTGGTGCTTCTCTTGGGGTGTTGTTGAATGTTGGGGATGGGTTGGGATTGTACGGAGGGATGTATGAGGGAGTTGGTTGCTTGTTGGGCACTTGAAATTTGGAGCTTTTTACTTGTTGAGCTTGTGTGGTTTGTATTTGGATGTGTAGCGGGGGAAAGGGATAATGAAGGGTTATACTAGGACATGATGATTGGTTTGGGTTGGGTAGGGGTCTTTAACAAGAAAGGAATGGAATGGATGGTGTTATTCTCTGGAAGCTGTGTGTGATGCGTGTAAACGTACGGTTTGCGTATGGTATGTGATTATGAGTATGTGTAACTTACCTACCTTGCTGCTGGCGCTTGGCTGAGGGGGCAGTAGGATAAGGGGAATGGGAGCGATGAATCATCTTTGAAAGGTTGTGTCTGTCTGTCTTGATGTTTTGGTGATAAGTGACCATGTCAAGCGGCCTTGCCTCTGAGGGAATGGGACGGGGGCAACTCACCATAACTGCAATTACTCGTAACTATCCATCCGTAGGCGAATCGCTATAAACTGCAAACTTTTCTAAGGCGGCGGGAAAACATCTTTGTTGTTGTGCAAATTGAAACAACAGCCATCAAACCCCCTCAAACGGGGTGTCAGATTTTTTTAAGTAAACGAGATTAACCATAGCACGCTGTGGCAATGATCCAACAAATCCTGTTGCAAGCTGAGCTTACTTGGACCCCCCAACTGGCCAATCTTGGGGTGTGTGTGCGTGGCGTGTCGGTCAAGGTTGCTGTGCAGTTTGAGAGTTTCGGCAAAGGCTCGGACCACTTGACCATGAGAAACGTGGGGGACTTGGCGCGCTGGTTAATAAGTTTTTTGTTTTGGGTTAGATATGGCCGTTGTATTTAGCTTTAGACCTCATTGACCATGAGGCTGAGTTTATAGGTATGTTGGGTTGTTTTTTGGGAAAGGCTACCAATCTACGTATCTTGGCCGCAGACACACGAGTTTACGCGCATAATCTCGGTGCATATCGCAAGATGCCAACTTGTGTAGTAGCTCTTTCAAAGACATTCATTCTGAAGTAAGTAGATTGGCGAATGGTTTCGTCAGATATTCATTGTGGTATATCAACCGCGTAATAGTCTCACAACATCTCCGTTGTGCTTTTTTTCTCTCTTAATTTATTGTACACAGCTTGTTGAAGATGAGTGGTAAATCATCGCAGTTTCTGAGAAATATCAAGGCCAAGGAAACTGGTTTTGCGGCATATGTGGGGGACGGCTGCCCTTTAGATTTGATGATGGGGTTCAGGTTTGGTGGCTCTGATATGTTGGCTTGTAAATATGCTTGTGCCCATTCACAACCCAAAAAGAAACGGCTGGGGAAAAAAAAGAAGGCATGTGTGATCTCGCGGTCGGCTCAGAGGAGATGGTACTTACATATCCCCGTCACCGATCTCATCCACGTGTTGTCGTCACGCTCTAGCCCCGGCTGAGGAGCAGGGTGGGCAATAAGCCAAGTAATTACTTACTTGACATGCAAGCCAAGTCAGACCCTAAGCTTGACTTAACTTGGCTTATTGCCTACCCTGCCGAGGAGGTGAAACTTTTCTTTGCTACCAGAGCATGGTGTCGCCTGTCGAGGTCATTTCGGTACTGTAATATATGTACTTGAAGAAAGCAAATTTGGTGCCGTTGGGGTGTGGTGTGGCAGTATCGTGAATCGTAGTATATACAAGGTGTGACAAGGGCTGGGTATTAGGGTTTGGAATAGTAGTTCAATTCAGCTAATAATCTATAATAGCCTCGAAGTCCTTAGTAAAAAACAAAAAAGAAGATCTAGGAATATAAATAGGTCCGAAGGATATATAGATATTTATTACTAAATAATCCGTACCCTATAACTTTAACGATTATTTAAACCTTTAATAACCACGAGGTATTTAATTACCTAATTTACTTCTAACTACTAACTCTCGACGTATAGGTAGATAGTAGTTGGGCCGTAGTGTGGCCGGTTGGCCAGTTAACGTGTAACACAAGGAGTGTCGTCGTACCGCGTCGAGTTGGTCGTATTCCAAACGTCTGTAACACCTAAACACCAGTACCGAACTCCTAAACGCCTAGGCGGCTATGGCCCCTAAATTCCTGTAACTCCCAAACACCTGAAACGCCGAGTACCGAAACCGATAGGTGTCTTGTCTTCGGGTGGAAAGGTCCTCCGAAGCCAAGCGGAGTGTGACTGCTGAGTGGCCGAAACCTAGATAGCAAGCCATGTTAGTTCACATGCTGGTTGTGCAAGACTTTGAGATTGTCTGAGCAGACCGCTTGACCATGAGGCCTTATTTGTTGGTGGAGTACTCGGCCAGATTTGGACTGATAACCTGCCGTTCTTGGAGAGCCACAGAATGTGATAAGTGCGAGTTGGTTTAGGCCATATTTTTGAAGACTGAACACAATCGTATTGCGTCGTGTAGAATTGGCAAGTGAATGTAAAAGGCGATCTTTTCTCGGCTATGGACTTGGTGAAATGATGTTGGAGGAGTGACGCGGTCGATGCGTGATACTCGAACCTCCTGCCAAAACAGAAAACCTTGGTGTTGAGAGCATGGGTGAGGCAGCAGAGCGCACGATAGCTCTGCCCTAGAAAATCCATACCATTGTTTCTATCTCCAATGATTCCTGTATCACACATGTTTTTTTCTGGTACCTGCAGAGTGCAGAGGATGGATAACGTCAAAAGTCGGAGCATGTGCTCCGTGTTGGAAGTCAACGATCGGAAAGCCTCCAATCGAAAAATTATAATCATGAATTTTCGACCATCCATCTGGTGCAACGCTCTCAAAACAATCAGTCGTTGTTGTTCAAACATAGAATGGACGTGATATCGTGTGGCTTGATGATGTTGAATGGCTGCTGATCTTGGCTCAAGGCCCAGCTGGTGTGATGAGTAGTACCCAGGTAAGTTAGCTTTTTGGTACTTATCACAAAACTGAAAATCTGCTGGGGATGAGGGATGGTTTGGTACCGAATCCGCCTTGGAAAGCAAGCTCGTGGATGGCGTAACCGAAAAAAAAAAAAAAAAAAAAGAAGGACCGCCTTGGGACTCTGGGTGATTGGTGGCCAGGTTCAGAGAAGGGCGGGCGGTTTATGGTGCGAAAGTGCTGGACAGAGTTTAGTATGGGGTGTGGTGGGAGAAGCTGAAGTTGTAATATTCATTGTTGACATCCGAGCCTAAGTACCTGTAGTGTCAAATTGTTAATGATAGGTAAATTGGATCGTTCTTCTTCCCATCGTGCCTTCCTCTTTCATACCGGGGTCAGGCATCCATCCATATCTATCACCCTCAGAAGGCACGGCTCAGCAAACTGTTGCCCACCATGTCACCCACCTTCTTCAATTCTCACTCAGAATGTATTTCTCACTTTGACCTTCACTCTTACCTCTCTCTGACCACTCAACTCATCATATCTCACCTCTCAGCCCTCACTCCTTACGCAAGACACTTACTTCTCAAGCTCATATTTCCTCAATCTTCACTCACTCGCAAGACTCGCAACTTACACGCACATTGTTTCACAACCAATCCGAAAATGGGCATTGTACTACTAGATCAACAACATCGTTTATTCCCAAAAAAAAAGGTGTTCGAACGTAAACACTTTTGAAACGCACTTGAAGGGTTTTTTTTTGTATTTTTAAGATTTTACGAGCTTTTTTTGTGATTTTCGCTTTTTCTCTACAAAACACCAGTTGACACACACAATCCGACAGATATCACCCCTTCAAACAAACAGGCACTGTATGTTGTTCTACACCAAAGTTCCTGTTTCCGACTCAGTCAAGATTGATCTTGAACCTACCCTGTTGCTCATACCGCCTCTCGCACTCCCCGCACTTCACATGCACGCGGCAATGGGAGCACTTGTGCTCGTGCCCGGAGTTGTAGCACTCGCAACCGCAGCACGTCCACACCCCTTTGTACTGCCCCGCACCTTTGTTTTTCGTGTGTCTCTCGCCGAAGTTGTCCAGCCAGGCCTGGCCGGTGACAAAGTTTTCGAGTCGAATCTCGCTGTCGAGCCACTCCTTTTCCTGCTCGGTGTAAGCGCGGGCATGAGAGGTTTCGTGGTCGATTCTGGCTTGTTCGAAACGAGCATTGTACCAGTTGCGGCGGGCGTGGAGCTCGGCGAGCGAAGGCCCAACAATTTTTATGGTGGTTTTACGCGGGGACGTGAAGGTGTCGGCCGTGGTGTCCCAGGACTGTGTTGAGTTAGTACTCGGAAGGTTTTGTCGGCGTGGTGGAAGGATTCGCTCATTACCTGCTGCCAAAACTGTCCGTTTGGAAAAGCCAAGAGCAAGGAGGCTGCCGCCCTGATGGGAGTCAGGGGTAATGGTGGACTCGGAGGGAGAATTGTTGGCGTTGGACGCTGGGAGGCCGTGGTGAATGACGGTAGAGCAAGAGCCCCCGTGGGAGGGGTCTGACTCCTCGTCAGACAGCCACAAAGAGTTGTTGGAAGCCATGTTTAAGTCTGGCAAGATGGTGGAAGGGCGAGTTGTTAGTAGTGGTCGAAGAGTGCGGAAAAGAGTTTGAGGTACTGGGTCGAGGCGGAACTCGAAGATGTAGTCAGTTTGCTCAGCTTTCACACTCGATGTCTATCAAAATGGCAGTGGGGAAATTCTTCATCTGACCGAAGGCGCCTTCCACTCTGCTTAAATACCTCCATTGGGGATGGGAGTTGCGTTACAAAACGAGTGTTGATATCTGAACATTGGTGTTGTTCTGTGCGCTCAGGAGCTGTTCTTCTGCGAACAATGGACAAAGACCGACAATGTTGTTGTCACTGAAGCAGCTGTCATGTAAGCGTCCTGGATACCAACTCTTTTTTCAAACCATGCATTGTTTCCAAAAGTTAGAAATCATCACTCCAATCTTAACACTCACTTGCTGGGTCCCCTTGCCTAGGTGCAACTCATCGTGTGCACTCAAGAATGGAAACCCAGCCTTCAAACTAGCATCATGTTTTAGATATGGGAATTTGCTTTTGGAAATCAGATAGCCAATGTCTAAAAGATATATCCTGTCTTGATGCCACCTTGAGTCGATGCAACCGTCTTATGATGGATTTCGAGTGTAAGAATCAACTAAAATTGCGGTCAACGGTATAACGAGCAGTAGGAGACCAGTTCGGGTTTATTAAGTAATATATACACTAGGTTTCTGGTGCGTATAGCTAGCTATTCTTTCCTCCACGAAGGGAATGTTGTCTTGACATAGTCCCTGAACCCCTGAATCCTCAAGTACCACCGGGCTGGATAAACGCTGCAATCTTTCAGATTCATATCATAATGATACTGATAGACGAAGTCACAGTAAACAATGAACCAGAAACGAGGAAACCGGTGAGGAAGCTGGGCCAATGTCGGCTAAAATACAAGTGATGGCTGCTGCCCAATGGTCCCGGCACCGGGCAAACCACCCCAAATCAAACACGGGCATGTTTAACCAAGCCAAGCCAAACAGGCAACACACATCAAACGCTTTCCATCGTGCTTACTTAACCGACGTGCATATTAGTCAGGGTAGTAAGCCGGCTATAACAGTGGTCTATTGAGCCTCATCATGCAGGTCCTTACTGAGCGTAGGGGGTGGATAGTCCTGATCAAAATGGGGCCCGCTCTTGGCCGTTCGATAAGGGGATAGTGGAGATGAGGTCCTGGTATGAGTGCTGTGTAGAGAAACGAGAATCAATCATTGCTCTACCATTATAAGAGCAATCGGGGCACGGTGGAAACAGAAGACGCCTTCAATTCAATAAAGACTCCTGCCTTTTCCATCCGATACATTATAGGAATGCTCGTTCATTAAGAGAGAGCGAGAACCAAAGTCGAGACTGTTCTGGTGGCCTCGTCTGTTCAACAAGGAAGGTGATTCTTGTGGGTGGATGTCACTGTAAGCTGACGAGGAATGTTGAGTAATACTCCAGGACTGAAACTCCACTACACAACTGCGGTGAAGTAAGTGAAGTAAGACTTGGTTGTAACATTCCAAGACCTCCAAGACTGATACTCCACTCGAGGCTAAGTTATTCAACCCTTGGTAGCATCATCTGCTGTGGGTATCGAAATGGCCGCCGTCGAAGTCTTCGATATCTATAAGTACCTGCCTCTGGTCAGCATGTTGGGAAGATTAGAAGCATCATCCGCATCTCGACGCCAAACATTTTATCCATTTCTCCCTCCATCACAGCACACCCCATCAAAATGGTTGCCCTCTCCCTCATCACTCTCGCCACGCTCCTGGGCTCTGCCCTGGCGAACCCTGTGCCGGTCCCATCTTTTGATGTTGAGATCCCGGCCGCCAATGCTTCCGAGGTGGACAAGCGCCAGGCTGCAGAGGGAGTCTACCTTTTGAATTGCGGCCCTCCCTCCAACCCGAATACATACCACCCTGTTGTTGTGAGTCTACTCCCGCCCCTGAACAATCGCGGCATCACAGAAAAGCTGACCAAGCCCTTTACCCAGTACTGCCCCGACATCTCCAACTGTGGCCGCATCCCCTCCAACAACAACCTCTGCTACGGCCCCACCAAGTGGGAGACTTCCACTGGCTCTTGCAGATTCCCGACCGGCGTCACTTTCACCTGGAATATTGTGGCCAACGCCCAGGAGTTCCCCTACTTTGCCGTGGTTGGGTACGTAGTTTCTTTCCCAGAAAAGACTGCCAAACAGTTACTAATCCCTTGTTTCTAGGAGTGGGAACAATGGACGCCCGCGCCCTTTCACCATCCGCAAAGATAACCAGGGTGTTTTGTACAGGGATGGTCAGGGATACAACTGCAGAGCCATTTATGTTGCTGTGTAGGTTGTAGGAACTGTTTGTGGGCAGTAGGTAGATGCTTTGCTGGTTGTTGGTGAGGACTTCGTTCATTTCTACTGGTTCCCACCAAAGTCAATATCAAAGCAAATACGTAGTTCAAATCGTGTGCTGTGCATCATGAAAGATCCAAGACACCTTTCTCACCCAAGCCTGCCAAGACACAGACCCCTGTCGCTCAGTCATCACTTTCTCTCCGCACCCTCGGCGCTCGAGTTTTATCTGATCATCTGATAAGATCATTGCTGAGCGAGCAGGCAACACCCCTCATTTCGCTCATCAACATCATTCATTATTACCGTTCCACTACATCCGGATCCTTATTCTTATCATCGATCCATCTCTCCCCCCCTGTGGAAGGGAACGATGAGCCGCGCACAGCTCTGCGCACTCCCAGCGCAGCGGTTGTTGCCCGGTTTCATCCGCGCCATCGACTGCCAGGACGCGCTGGACGCCCTCGATGAAGGAACGGGCACCGGTGACCCTTTGGCAGGCCTGACACCAGAGCAACTGGAGTACATTCGACAGCTTATCATCGCCATCTATGAGGGGAGAGCGGTAGCTGCGAGTTATAATGTCTTTATTGTTTGTATAATCGCGGTGCTTGCAGTGTTGCACTGGCGGGAGCAGAAGCGAGACAAGCAAAAGTGGACGGCTATTCAGCAAGTTTCATCAGGAAGAACAGCAGCCGAAAACAGCCAGATTGATGGATCAGGGACTTCCACGCCTTCGTCATCATCCTCGACCACCATTTTTCCTCAGACAACCCACATTAAAAGCCCCGAAGACGAAGTAGACGTTGACCTCGAACGCCTTCCCCTATTAGCCAGTTCACAGCCAGCAAAGCACTTCCAACCCAACCGTGTCACCAACAGACTCAGATCATGGCTTCTCTACCAACCCCCACAAATTCCCATCATCAACCGTGTCCTCCCCTCCATCGGCACCACCCTCTTCATTCTCTCCTGGCTTGCCCTTAACATCTTCATTCAGTTCTACCGCCTCCCGATGAAATGGTCCTTCTTCTTCATTTTCGCCGACAAAGCTGGCTTCCTCTTCATCGTCAACCTCCCCTTACTCTACCTCCTGTCAGCCAAGAACCAACCTTTACGTCGGTTGACAGGCTACAGCTATGAAGCTCTCAACATCTTCCACCGCAGAGTGGGAGAATGGATGTGCTTCGTTGCCGTTGTCCACTTCATCAGCATGCTTCTATACCAGTTCGTTATCGCAGAAGACTGGCTTTTGGCCTCGCAGTCACCAAAGGCGTACTTCACCCACCCGCTCATCTTGTTCGGCATCGGCACTTTTGTCAGCTACGAACTGTTATTCTTCACCAGTTTGGGAAGCTTCAGACAGAGATGGTATGAGCTCTTCCTCGCTTCCCATGTCATTCTCCAGGTCGCAGCACTCGGGTTTCTCTGGGGACACTTTTACACCAGTCGACCCTACGTAATCATCGCTTTGGCTATTTTCCTCCTCGATAGGCTTGTGTGGAGGATGAGCATCAAGCGGGTCGCCATGGAAATGGATCTGACGGTGCTAGATGGGGAGACATACTTGGTGTCAGGTGATTGGGATGTTCTCCCTGGGGCAAATGGTGTTTTGGCAGGTTGGGAGCCGACGGATCATGTCTTCTTGACGGTGCCAGCTTTGGGTCGGAGTCATGCGTTGCAGGCGCATCCTTTCACAATCGCCTCAGCCGCGCCTGGCAAGGGAGTGCAACGAGAAGAAGGGGGGAGACATGCCTGGTTCAGTCTCTTGATCAGAGCCCAGTTCGGGAACTTTCCCGGCGGGTTCACGAGGCAGTTGCTCGAGCACGCCAAGACGCACAAAAGGGTAGAGGTCCAGCTGGATGGGCCCTACGGCTCGCCGCATGCGTTGAGTATGCTGAGAGCGTCCAACAATGTGATACTGGTGGCAGGAGGTAGCGGGATCGCAGTGACGTTCCCGCTTGTATGGGCGCTCCTTCACGAAGCAGCATCTCAGACAGACTCCGAGGAAGATGAAGATAAGCAAGTGCCGCCCTCGAGTAAACAGAAGAAGGCAAGAGGGAGAAAAGTCCACATGCTCTGGGTTACGCACTCGCACTGGCACCAGAAATGGATTCCGAAGGAGCAGCTCGACGACCTCGTCGCGCTGGGTTTGGATTTGGTCGTGCCTCCCCCAACCATGGACGCAGGCAGACCGGAAGTGCATGGGATTGTGGGTCAATGGATCCAGGAGGCCGAAGGCGATTCGAGCGTGCTCGTGTCTGGTCCCGATGGCTTGAACAGAGTTGTGAGAAACGTTGCGGCCGGGGCTGTCAGACAAGGGAAGAATGTCCGGATAGCAGTGGAGAAGTTTGGGTGGTGATATTTTGGCATGTGATGGGGCATCCACGGCGTTTTCGCTTTCATTTTTTGGATACTTACAGTTTCGAGACGCACATTTGGACAAGAGAGAGCATACAAAGTTGAAGAGCATTGCTTTATTGTTGGCGATAGAAGCGAGGAGTTCACAGGCTCACGACCTTTATTACAGACAAACCCTTACGAAGATCCCCCAGACGTCTTCCACTCCCCCGTATCCTTCACGCCCTGTGAAACATCCTGCACGCCCTTCTCAATACCGCCCGTGATGTTCTTGAGCCCATCGCCAATGGGCCGGCCAGTCTCTCCTGTGACAGAGTTGACAGTGTCGCCTAATCCGCGACCTGCCGAGCCGACGACGCCACCTGCTGTGTTGGCGATTCCGCCGAGGGTGTTGCCGAGCGTAGAAGTGACTGTCTTGCCGGCGCCGGAGATGCCACCTGTGATACCGCCGGCGGTCTGGTCGGCGGTCTTTTGGGTCTGGTCGGTGTTGAGGAGGTTGGACATGGTGGCGTTTTTTTTGTGGTGTGGCTTTGGTTAAACTTTGGGTTTTGGGGTTTCTTGAACTGGCTGTGATGTTCTTGCCTGGTTTGAGTGAATTGCGATTTTTACAAGATGTTTGTGGGTGTTTGATGCGGTTGAGGGTGAGCTTGCCACGAGCGACGTTAGACTGACGTCATTCACGTCATTTTGTGTTCATCCCACCGAGGATGGGGAGTGACTTCATTTTGGGCCCATTGGGGTGTCAATATGAGCAGGAGTGAAGAACGCAAAAGGGTTGAACGCGGTTGACCCTCGAGCGAGCCTCTTGATAGCCGGTGTATTTGCATATACCAGGGTGAGATTCACCACCAGCTTCCTCGAGTAGTACCTATTCAGACCAAGGTGAGGTCAGCTCAGGGGGTGAAGACCAGATCTCGAGGGTCCCTGTCGCACTTCTTTACAGTTCACCCTAGAGTACAAAGACCCTTTGGTACTCCCCACCGTGACCGCAGTTCCGGATATCAAAGCGAGCCCAGTCTTGCATCGCTGCAAGCCATGTACCAGTCATCCGAGATCTCACCACCAAGGTCCGCAACCAGATAGCCTCACTTATACAAGATGTAAATAGGCATTTATCTTCACTAAAATATCATGCCTTAGACCAAGCAGAAGTGGTTGATGAATACCAGCCCAGCTTAGCTTTTCGATGTTTAGAATCCTCCATCTCAACACCAAAGCCAACCCCTGTCTCTCCCAACCCAATTCCCCAGAGATGTTTCTTCAATTACATCTCCAGACTCGACAACAATGATACTAAAACAGACCTCCCTTCTCCCGTCGGTCCCCCAGACCGCTTCCCACTCCAAACCCGTCTCCCTTCCAGCCCCCCCCTTGGGCTCTCTCGTCTTGGGGCCCTCCTGTCGCTGCCTAGCTTGTCAGCCTACACACTCTTTACAAAACATCACCGATTCAGGTCACTCTCTTTACCACCCGTCTCGACCCCAATGGCCACCATTAAAATCCCTTGTTTTTAATTTTCTTCATTCGACTAATTACCCCTCACTCATTCAATCCGGTCGTCCCCCAAAATGGTCCCCCTATCATTTGCCCTTCGAGCAGCTCTGCTCACCCTCTCCACCATCGCCCTTCCCACCCTCTCCCTCCCAGCCCCCATTGCCCAACGAGACGTAGCCCTCCATCGCTCCTCCCTAGACAGCACCTGGGACGACACCGACAGCTGGGAACCCCACGCAGGATGGTTCTCCTACAACGAAGACGAAGACGATGACGACGATGAAGGGAACGAGTGGTGGGAAGTAAACAGCTGGGAGGAGGAGGAGGAGGACGACGACGACAGCTACGATTACAGCTGCGAGTATGATGATGAAGACTACGACTGCGAAGAATACCCCGACTACGACGAGGACTGGGACGAAGACGAAAACGACGAGGGGTGTGAATGGGACGAGAACGACGAAAGCGACTGGGAAAGTGACGACGATAACGACGACGATCCCACCTGGGAGGATTACTCCCTCACTAATCTAGTAATCCAGTGCGTTCCCCCGTGTTCCCGCCACCCCCCCCCCCCCCTACCCATCCATGTTTGACATAATTGTCTCCCCCAGCTCCCCCCATCAAACCCTCCACTCCGGAATCGGCACAGTCTACACCCAAGACGGCCGCGTCGGCTCTGCGGCACCTCCCACGACGACTCCGCCTTCGTCGTCGCCCTCGGAAACGACTGGATGCACCACCGGTACCAGGCCTCCGAGTGCGGCCGCCAGATCCAGGTCACCAACAAGGGGTCGCGTCACCACGTCGGCGGCGAGGGTAACACCATCACCGTCACCGTCCAGGACACCTGCGCCAGCTGCGACGCCGGCCACGTCGACTTTAGCCATGCCGCGTGGGACGCGCTGACAGACGGAAGCCCGCCCGGGCAGGTTGATCTTGAGTGGTGAGTAATTTTGCTCTCGGTGATGGAATGAGGCATGCTGACAGGAATTTAGGACTTGGCTGTAAGAGTAAATGTAGAACATAAAAAAGAGGAGGACTGTGCTTACTGTTATGGATTTTGTATAAACGCATATGAGCCTGAACATAGAGTAGATTCTGTGCTTGCCGCTGTTATTTGTTCCAAGGACGTTAAAAAGCACTGCATTTACATTCCTGTCGACCATCAAAATCACCAAAAGAAAAGGCAAGCGCTTCTATTCCATTTGATGCCTGTCGTCTATCAATGACCATAACCTCCCCCTCTTTGTCCATGTGTATAACCCAGTGCCCTTCACCAACGATGTAACCATGAAAAAAAACATCCTCTTCCCCAACGCCAATAACTCCTAAAAGAAAATGCAAGCGTCAACCATCCCGTCAAAGACTTGTCAAAAAAAAAGGGTATCTCGCTCTATCCACCCATCAATATCCTCCGCTGTATGCCACTGGCCCCCAATCGAATCTACCACAGTGAGTCAAAAGAATAAAAAAGACATCACTGCCAATCCAAACTCCCCGCCTGCCACCCCATCTTCTCATTCCTCCTCGAGGCCGTCTCCCTGCTCTCCTCCTTAGCCATGCTGGCCTTGATAATCATGCACTGCTGGCACCGCTGCGCCTTGTTCGACTTGCCCGTCCGCCCGACGTCCACCGCGCCGCAGTACTTGTGTGTGATCTCGTCGTCCCAGTTCTGCGGCTTTTGCCCCGCCACCTTGGCCTTGGAGTCGTAGGATTTGCCCATTTTGTTCTGTTTCGATCCCGCGGAAAGAGGGAGGGAAGGGGTTCTTTGTTGAGATAGGGGTTGCTATGGTGGTGGCCCCAGTAAGGAAGGCGGGTTTGGGGCTCGCTGGGCTGTTGGGGAAAGGATGATATTCGAGGAAGTCGCAGGTAGAACGATGACGATGTTTTCTTCCAGTCCACCGAGGTATGTAAATAGTCTGTGTGAGATCGTGTAGGTGTTGCTGTGAAAGCGTGGTGTTGTCGAGGAAAGGTTGTCAAAAGAAGGTCTGAATACACAGGTGACGGCTGATAAATATAGAACCAGAAAGAGCAAAAAAATCCTTCCTTTTTTGTGCGCCCGCTCGGTGTGTGCGCCTGCCAATCTGCCCAAAAGAGCCGAGTTGTGTCTGTGTGGTTGCTCCCGGTGTGGTGTGACAAAGGCGAGCACCTGCCACGTTTATGACGTCATGCTGCTCCAAGGAAGGCACTTTCAGGGTCCGGGCCAAGCAATTCGGGGTTAGGGGTAGAGGTGACTCGATTCGCCACTGCCTGTTTCTCGGTGTCGCCGTTCGGCATGTCATGAGGCTTCAGTCCACCTGACCCTTTGAGTGTGGGATGGCAGCAGGTAACAGAAATGGTTTGACATGAACAATGGCCAAAACACGACTGTAGTAGACAGTCTACTAAGCAGACTGTAGAAGACTAAAAAATATGCAAAAGTGAAGGTGAATTGGGGCCACCCGGGGATTGAACCCGGGACCTCTCGCAAGCAATGCTTTAGGGTGTACCCTAAGCGAGAATCATACCACTAGACCAGCGGCCCTTTCTAATGCGATGACGCTTATCCCCAGAAACTCGTGTTATGTGGCTAGAAAGAGTTTGCAACCTGTGTAACCATCTATTGGAATGCCGTGTTAGGGGAGTACTCTGAGGGATATGGAGGAAGCATGATGAAGATATAGTAGCGTCGTTTGATGAAATTCTGGCATTTGAAGAAAATGTACCTAGCATGTTAATGCAACGGTGGTTCTCCGAGAAGTAAGTCAAGATGGTTCAAGATAACAACGCGAAAAGTCAGGCTTCTGTTCACCTTCATTTTACAACGTGCACCAAGAGATTGACAACCATCACATAGCAAACTTGAACGTTGAAATGTCATCAGCCAAGTCGTATCCATTGAGAAATATTCACAAAACCCAAACTACCACTCCCAACCTCACCCCCAACTCCCATACCGATTGAAATTCACCAAAAAGCTTCTTCCTATCAACCTCCCCATTCCCTCCCCAAATTCTTGTACACTGGTAGTCCACAGAACCACCTACCCTTCAAACCCCTTAGGCACGACCACTAAGACGCTGAAGGGCGTCAAGCAAAGCCCGGCAAGTAGTCCCGGCACCGCAGGCGCCACCGGCAGCTCCAGTTCCAGCACCAGCCTCAGCTCCAACGCCCGCACCAGCACCGCCAGCAGCAGCGTTACCAGGAACAAAGATGCCCCACTCGCCAACCAAGCTATCAACAGTAAGAGTAAGCTCATTCTCCTCGAGCTCAAACTCCAACTCGCCGACACCAGCACCAATGACGAATCCATTGGCCTCGGGGCAGAAGCGACCAATCTGACCAGCGCTGATATCAAGCGTGTTGTCAGCAGTAAGAATGTAATCAATCTTCTGCAGCGTCAGCCCATCAGTGCCGCCACCAGCGATGGCGACCTTGTACGAGACTGGCTCGAGGGCCTTGAAGCCGGGGGGAGGCGCGGCAGGGGACTTGTTCTCGGTTACGATCATGGATCTGCCTTCTTGATTTTGGAATTCGACCTCGAAGACGCCGTTGGTCTGGGAGTTGTTAGTTTTGGTCCTGATAGGGTCGTCATTCGGGGGAAAGGGGGATGCTTACGCCAGCAGGGAAGAGAGTATCGGTTTTGATGTTGCCACCGCCTAGTTCGACCGCCTCGCCGAACTGGGCCTCTTGCTCAACCTCGTTCTCTTCGCCTTCCTCATCGCCTTCACCACCGCCGGCGGCGGGAGGTGGGGTAGCAGGGACAGCTGTGGCTGTTGGGGCGGCGGTGGCAGAGGCGATGGCGGAGGAAGAGACACGGGAAGCATTTCTTCCACGACGGTCAGCCGCGGAAACACCACCGTGGTTTCCACCGTTGTGAGGGGCCGGGAGGGCAGAGGCGGAGAGGGCCAGGATGGCGGAGAAGAGAGCGCAGGACAGCTTCATCTTGGAGGCTTTGTTGGGTGTGTGTTGTCTTGTTGTTTATGGAAAAGAAAGAAGACGTCAAGGAATGTGATCGTAGTTGCGAAGCTCGTAAGTTTTAATGAATGAATGGACCAGCCAACCAAGAAATGAAGTTGTGAGGAAAAAGAGGGAAGAAAGAAGGTCGGGTTGGGGAATGGAACAACTGCTGGTGAGGCTGATGATGAAAGGAATGTCCAAATGAAAGCCCGGTATCATGGTGGCCATATAGGCGTACTTATATTGATCCTCCCTCATGACCGAACAAGTTCCTATCGGGAAAATCTCATTAAGAGCTAAGCTGATCGAAACATCGCCAAGGGATTGACCAGATGACTTCACTGGGGAGTGGTGGTTTGGCCTGCTGTCAACTGGGTTGTAGGGGCCAGTCGTGCAAGTTCAACCGAAGAAAGGGGCGGCCGCACTGCCCGGAGGCCCGCGAATGCGGAAAGATGCCTGTTGGGAAAAGGGCCAAGACTCGCTCTATATGAGCAATGGACGTTTGGCGTAGCATAGAGGCACTGGAAAACGAATAAGCTTTGTCACCACTCCACATGACAGAGGTCTTGAGATGAGGCTGCCACGGTGTAATTCGCTGGTGCTGCCAAAAGGCAGCATGTTTAGGCTCGACTTGCCTTGGATGATGTTGCCGACCAGGGGTCGAGCTGGGGTCAACTCCACAGATCTGATACCAAGGGCGATCCACCCACACCTTTCCTCGGCGTTTTACATTGGCGCTCCTGGGCACTCCTTGGCTTTCTGAGACTCTGGTGCGGAAGAGACCCCTATCTGGGAGCGGTCAGTCAAATGAGAGTGGTGGTGGGAGAGCTTCAGTGTTCATCTGATCCGTCCGAGTTAAATTCAGCATAAGCGCCGTCTCCCTTTAAACGTGCTGCACACCCGACGTACGGGAACGCAAAGCCAAAAAAAGACCCATAGGCATCTATTGCTCAAGGAAAAGAGGTCAGAATGAAGCAGTTACCCTGTATTAGTGGCAATGCCCCCGGAAACGCCATACATGGCCTGATAACTGTCCAGATTAGCTAATAATGCCAATAATGCTTCGAGTACACAGCCCCATCGGTTTGAGATCACACCGGTTGATGTGGGCATCTTGGGAGGCGAGAGTGGGCGAATTGGCATTACCAATGATGGCTCATATATTATCGCCATGAGATGATAATTTATGGACTGGGGGATAGTACGGGGTCGTTGACCAGTCCAACTGGCTTCGAGGCGCAAGGGAGCATGGGAATATCCGATGTGGCCTGTGCTTTGAGGGCCAAGAGTCGGAGAAAAGGCAAGCTTTGCCAAGGCTCGGCTCGACTTTCCCCAGCGGTCTGGGCCCGACAGGCGCTGGCCCAGTGGAGATGCTGTTTTCTTGTCTCGACTTGGCTTTTGGTTGAAGTCTTGGAGACCAGCCAAGGACATGTTTTGCGGATTGTGATTCTTGGAAACAGCAAGTCGAACAAGATCAAACGGGTGTTGGTCTCCGTGTGTTCATAGGAAACCGCGGGGCCAAAGCTGCAAAACAGCTAGGTACCTAGCGTAAGGTGTCTGCTCTGGGAGAGTGAGAATAGCTTCATCCGATAAGGCGCAGCCGATAGAAAATAAAACGGGACAGAAAGTTCGGGTGTCTGTGTGGTCGTAGACGTCGTGATAGGACAGGAATGATAGGAAGTCGTCGACGAGGGAAACGGCAAGAACGGCAATGGGTCGCGTGTGCTTCATCAACGAACATTGTCCTCCTGCCGATTGGGATCTGGCAGTGTTACGCCACACTAGCGCAGGGCCCTGGGCTGGAGCTGGGCCAATCGGAGGTGGCTTGTTCACAGGGGTCCCACAAGCCGACGTTTTGACTTCTTCCCCTTTCTCCACCTCCATCCGGCTGCACAAGCCGATCACTGTCTGATCGACCTGCTGCTTTTTGGCACGCAATGGCAGCCAACCTCGCAAAAGGACGCTCCAGTTCTCTCACAACTGCGGCTGGCTTGGCAATGCTGCCGTCTCACCATGCACCCCCGTCTGATACACCTTCGAGAGGGGTCATCGCTGCAACTTGCGTCTCTGGCTGAGGCAGAGGATTGGTGAACATGAGAGCCTGTGCGTTGAGAACTTCCGGATTCGGTTCCTTCTTCGTGGCCCCTTGAACTCGAACTGTATCAGCCGCGCCGAGATACCCGATTATCAGTGGTGGGTGGACTGCCCAGGGGTGAGTGTTTGGTGTTTTGAGTGCTCTCCAAGGTGATGGAGGACGCCTTATTACCTTTGCTGGGCGCCACTCGTTTCGTGAGAATTTCCCTTCTCTGCTTCCTTTCCGTCTCTTTCACTTTCCTCTTCTCACTTTTTGAAAGGGCAGCTGGTCTGCAATTGTGGCTAGCTGGTGACTGTCCCTCTTTAGATTTCCTTCTTTTGACTTTCCTTCATTGACTGTATTCATATTTCAACGACCCTCCTCATCGGACAGGAACCGACGACGCTGGATCGTGGACGACAGTGCTGGTATATTTCACAACGACAGCAACAAAACGGCAAGATGAGGGTTACAGGACCAGGTGATCGCAGGAGGAACCATGCGTGGCTGGAAATGAGGAGGCGTGAGAGGCGTTGGACTCGACGACAAATCGAGGAGGAGGAAGACACCTCGGACTCGGATGGCGAAACTTCTGGGGACGACTCTGGAGACGATTCATCTGATGGCGAGGATGATGTACCGACGGTGCCCACACCAAGACCTCTCCTTCCCGTTCCCACGGTAGGGGCTGGCGCTGGGGTTAGTCTACTGCCCGTTCCCGGTACCCCCGCTCCCGTCCCTGGTGGGACATTGGGTGCCGATGAGGGCGGCGTCGATGATGGTCTGACTTCAGAGTCTGATGGCATCGACTCTGGCGACGATGATTCGCCGGATGAGGACGAAGAGGAGGAAAATGCTGTCCCCCCACCTCCCGTCGACGGTTCTTCGTCCACATCGACATCCTCCGTTGATGGCCCTGCTCCTACCGGAAGCAGCTCATCCAGCTCGCTTACGGCATCTGCGACCATCACCTCTTCCAGCACGAGTACTCAGTCTTCTAGCACCGTTACCGAGTCTGCTTCGGCACCCAGCACACCGACCATTGACGACGTTTTGATATCGGTAACCGCGGAGCCAACCTCTTTGCCACCTTTGGCACTACCCGAAGTCTCCCCAACACCCGGGGCAACTGGCGGTGCTACAGTTGACCAGGAACAGCTCGGGGCATCGCCAAGCAGGATGAACGCAGGTGCGGCAGCAGGCATCATTATTGGCACGCTTGGTAGGTTCTCTGACATTTCACTTCGGTAACTAGCATCTAACCTTAGCACTCAGCCATCATTGGATGCTTGATCGGCGCGGCTTTCTTCTGGCGCAAATGGAGGCGTGATCGCGGACAACCCTTCATGCCCGCCATTGTCCTGCCATGGAAGAAAGATAAAGACGGCTACGACTCGGATGCTGCTCTAGCACCCCCTAAAATCAACGAGAAAACCAACACGGCCATCATGGATGATCTCATGAAGGCGGCATATCAAGCCGAGAACGGGAATGACATGGAATATTACGGAGGGTACCCACCCGACAAGAGGGAGCTCCACCCCAACATGATCGACGAAAAGGCCTATGTTGCCCTGGCTGGGCATCTCACCCCAAGGACCCCAAAGAAGCCCGTGTCGACCTGGCTGGGCGGTATCGTGACACCCCGACAGTCTCAGGGCCCCGCGTTCCCCCCTAGTCCCATGTATTCCGAAGCTGAAAGACGCGAGAATGAGAGACGACAAGTTGGGTCTACGATTCCCGGAACGATGGCTGTGCCCAAGCTGCAGCCCCCGCCTCCGGCCAAGGCAAGGACGACCATGACTACGGATACAACCAACACGAGTGTGAGGTGGTACGGTTAGAAGTGAAGGCTTCGAGTACTGCAGGTATGATAGTGTAGCCCGGCGTTGGCGGCAGGTGGAACAGCACGGCGTTGAAAGAAGCCCGCGTGTGAGGTGTCCTTGTTCTTTTGATCCTTGGTGTTTGCGGTTGTATATAATACTGTCTATTTGTAGATCTATACCTCAAGTCCACATAGATTATCTTCATTTACCTAGTCCAGTCATGCACATTAAGTTGCGGTCGTGGTTGCGGTGAAGACCGACTTTCTCCTTCAAGTGAGTTCCCCGCATCCCCGCCTTTTTTGAGCTGGTACGTCATTGACAGTTTCGCACTCCAATCTTCCCCAAAACTTACCAGCGCAGCTTTCATCTCATCTTTCACATCTCATCCCTCTCAGCCACTCACACGCTTACTCGCGACCACAAAACGTAGTGGAAATGGCTCCCCAACAAGTCGACACAACCATCTCCCCCTCCGCTACAGGCCCGGCTCTCGCCCTCGCGAAACAGCACTCGGCTGACCACCCTCTAAAACTCTACGCGGGCTGGTTCTGCCCCTTTGTCCAACGAGCCTGGATCACTCTCCAAGAAAAGGAGATCGACTACCGATACATCGAGATCAACCCTTACCACAAATCCCCCGAGTTCCTCGCCCTCAACCCCCGCGGTCTCATCCCCACGCTTGTCCTACCTCCCGGTGAAGAGGGGAAACAGCGGGTGCTGTACGAAAGCGTGATTGTTTGCGAGTATTTGGACGAACAGTACAACTCTGGGACGAAGCTCCTGCCATGGGACCCCTACGAGAGGGCGAGGGCGAGGTTGTGGGTGAATTTTGTGGAGAAGAAATTGGTGGCGGGGTGGTATAGGTTTATGCAGCATACGCCTGATAAGCCTTATAGTCTTGAGGGGGTGAGGAAGGAGTTTTTGGAGAATTTGAAGACTTTTGTGAGGGAGATGGATGAGGAGGGGGAGGGGTGGTTTAGTGAAGGGGGTTTTGGGTTGGTGGATGTGAGCTTTTTGCCTTGGGCGGGGAGGTTGTGGTTGATGGATCATTATAAGGAGGGCGGGGTGGGCATTCCGAAGAGGGAGGAGCGGGAGGGGTTGGAGGAGGGAGAGAGGAAGGTTTGGGAGAGGTGGGAGAGGTGGTATGAGGCTGTTATGGGGAGGGAAACGGTCAGGGGGACTTGGAGCGAGAGAGAGGAGTATATTGGGGTGTATAAGAGGTATGCGGAGGATCAGACGGGGAGTGAGGTTGGGAAGGCTACGAGGGAGGGGAGGGCGTTGCCTTAGAGAGTTCAAATTATTTGGCCAATCTTGATTTTCAAATTGGCTTCACTGCTTCATAGCTGTCTTACGTTGTCTTGAGGAACCACTGAAAATCGTTGAGAATGAGATGATGGAGCGCAAAGCACCATAACCCTAACCCTCAAGATGCTGTCTGCCCCACAACGGCTATCTCCAATCTTTTACGAGATAAGCACTCACCTCACCTCGGTGATGATGTAACCCGGCGAGCCACCAAAGGATCGTCTGGTGAAGGCAGCCATTTTCATCAACCCAGCCCCTTTTATGATCCTTGCGCCTTCTTTGACGCCCGCTGCATATACTGTCTCAAGTCCTCGCGTCATATATACTCACTCACCCTCTTTCACCAAACATAACTCTCCCCCTTCCCATCACTTTCCCCTCATTCGTCCGGCGCCATCACCGCCGCCACTCATCGCCCAAAATAGGCCGCCACTCACATCAGAACCGGCCTCGCGCCACAAACAACCACAGCACCAAAGGGCCACGTTTCGACGACGACGACGACGACGATTTCGACCACTTTGACGATTCTTACGCCGGGTCTAACGATTTCTCAGTCCAAGGCAAGTCGGCCTATCATCAACCAAAACCCAAAAAGAAGAAAAAGAAAGGCGGCGGCGGGAGAAACAAAGGCAAAATGGGCCAGGACCACTCCGTCATCGACGAGGACACCCCTCCCAAAACCTTGTCGTCTCGCTCCCTGGCCTCGGTGGCAGAATACATCCTCTCCGGCCGGGCAAAGCGCATAGTCGTCATGACGGGCGCGGGCATCTCCACCGCCGCCGGGATCCCCGATTTCCGCTCCCCCGACACGGGTCTCTACGCGAACCTTGCCTCGCTCGACCTGCCTGAGCCGGAGGCGGTGTTTGATCTGGGGTTTTTCAAGGTTAACCCTAGGCCGTTTTATGTCTTGGCCAAGGAGCTGTACCCGGGGAATTACCACCCGACGGTGTCGCATGTTTTTGTTAGGCTGCTCGCGGAGAAGGGGCTGTTGTAGGCTGCTCGCGGAGAAGGGGCTGTTGCATCAGTTGTTTACTCAGAATATTGACTGTTTGGAGAGGGAGGCGGGGATTCCGGCGGAGAAGATTATTGAGGCGCATGGGAGTTTTGCGAGTCAGAGGTGTATTGAGTGCAAGACTGAGTTTGATGCTGGCAAGATGAGGGAGTTTGTTTCACAGGGGGAGGTGCCGAGGTGTGAGGATGGGGGGTGTAAGGGGTTGGTGAAGCCGGATATTGTCTTTTTTGGGGAGCAGCTTCCAAAGGCGTTTTTTGACAGGAGGGACATGGCGGAGGAGGCGGATTTGGTGCTGGTTATGGGGACTAGTTTGCAGGTTCATCCTTTTGCGGGCTTGGTGGATTTGGCGGCGGAGAGGGTGCCGAGGGTGTTGTTTAATCTGGAGAGGGTGGGGAGTATGGGGTGTCAGGCAGATGATGTGTTGGCTTTGGGTGATTGTGATGAGGGGGTGAGGAGGTTGGCGGATGAGCTCGGGTGGAGGGAGGAACTGGAGGAGAAGTGGAGGGGGTTGGTTGGGGAGGGGGAGGCGGAGAGGCAGCTGCAGGGGGCAAAGAAACGGGTTGAGGCTTTGCATGATGAGGTCGCCAAGTTGGCGGAGGAGGTGGATGAGGTGTTGCATTTGGGGGAGAAGAAGGAGAAGGAAAAGGAAGGCAGTCATGTGGAGGCTTTGAATCCTGAGAACAAGCCGGATGGTGAGGGAAAGGTGGTTAATGAGGTTGATCCTGTGGCCGAGGATGCAGCGGCAATCAAGAGCTCGGTGAAGAACACTGATATCACGAAGACGGTGGAAGTCTCGGTGGAAACGACGAACGCTTTGAAGCCAGTGGACATGCCGGACGGGGAGGGTAGGATAGTTAGTGAGCAGAAGGCGGGCGGCCAGCAACCGGGGGACACTAAGAGCTCTGCTTAGGTAGGTAGGTGTCATGACACTTATCACATGGTTATGAAGGAGGCTCTACGGGATACACGTGTATCATGGATACCAAGGGACGTTGCAACGGGTTCGCAGACGGTTACAAAGGGGTCAACGGTTAGTCATGGGCGTTGTCAGCCAGTGAGGCATTCGAGGGAACACTAGTTATTGTATGGCTACAGACAGGATCGGAGTCAAATCCAACAACATACTAGTTTCAACCTTCTACACTGGTGCTCATTTGTTTGAGTTTTACCCCTAGCCAAACGGTAAAAAAAACACGTCAAACACATCTCGAATCGCTGAAAGATTTCACGACAGAAGTTCCCCTTGCGTAAACAACTGCTCTCACTGCAATGATCGATAAGCGTCAGTCCCATATTGCTGTGCTGGCAACCAAAGGACGGCATCTTGATCTACCTCCCTAATGACATATTACATCGAAATCGAAATTTCGACTCACCATATCAAGCCATGAGAGGATCTCCTGTCAGGCCACAAGTGAATTGTGGGTGAAACTATCATCAACTTGCCTCTTCGAAGCATGTGTCCAGCGTGTGGAGAAGGAGGCCTCTTTCGAACTGTGGTTCGGGCAATGCACGGTACTTGTGTCAGCGACTCGGAAAATACTTCGTCACACCAGAGAATCACAGCACCACACCGTTTTATCGCGGCTTCACTGCCCATCTCGCGATGATTTTCTCGCATTCCTTTCTTTTTTTATCTCAACGCATCAGCTCCTGGCGAGATCTGGAAGGTGCTGCAGTTGGGGGCAGGGCTCAGGCGGCGTTATTCATCAACGGCTCCAACAGCCACCCCAATTCGAGCGCGAAAGACGGTCAGGAGTCACTATGAAATGTCAAAGCTGTAGCGGAGGCCTCTCGAAAGATATATAACATCTATGATATCCCAACTGCTACTCGCATGTGGCTGTGTGCTGGAGTATGCTGACCTCACCTTGACAACAGCATAGTGTTATGTGTAACGTCAGGTGAGACTCTGGGTAACCCTGATGCTGCCAAAAGAAGCCAACCCTACCTACCTATGCAGTTTATGGTATTGCAACTCACCAAAGGTGGTCGCTACCTTTCAAAATGGATCCTGTCGACATTTAATAAAGACGTGAAGAACAGGTGCAGCGAGATTGCACATGGTTTTGCTGGGGTACACGAGATCCTTGTGACCCCTTGGCAAGCATAAGCCGGTGACTGCCTTCTGAGATTTTCATATTTGAAAGTTGGGTAAGCACGCCGTCACGGAAAAAAGGGCGGTGCTCAAAACCTCAAAGTTGACGATAGCAACGTGTTGCCGAGCCATTCATAGACCCGTGGTCGAAACTGTGGATGAAAAAGGGCTTGGCAGGTTATAGTCTGGCATCTGGTGACAACGAGGAGTGATCAAAGTCACTGTCTGCACAGTTTTAACCCAGAACGTACACTCGTAAAAACTAGCATCAATGTGAGCGTATGTCTGCTTGAAAAATCAGAAGATGAAATTTCGGGGGCTGAGTCCAGATCTGGGAGCCCAATTGCTGCTGGTGGTGGTATTTATCGTCTTGGCCTCGCTTTTAACTGGCCGTCCTCGTCAAAACCAGCGACCAACAACACTTCATGCTCCACCGCACCGCCACGGGGCCAAAAAGGTCGAGGCACATCAAGCCGTGTCTCGGCTGTTGCTACCCTTGGGAATAGGTATGTATATCAAGGACACTCCCATGACAGTCTGCTCAGAAGTAGTCATCACCACTATCACCACAACAATCCCCAACACAACCTACCATCAGCATGGCCGTCAACTATACCGCCGTCGCGTGGACGCCGGTAGTCATGCTGGGCATTGCAATCGTCCTTGGCGTTTATGTTCTGGCCCGTCTCGTACTCGATCTGTCCATCCGACGCGGCTTGGTCACCTCGAAGAAGCATCAAGATGATATCGAAAGCGACGCTCCTTCCCACAGCAGATTTAGAATAACAGCAACCCGGTCCGTTGCGCTGGCCGGAGTTATCTGCTCGCTGCTCAGCAATATCCTCGAGCTGGTCATTCTGTTTGACTACGTTGATTATTACGACCTGTCACATTTGAAACGGTACACTGCGCTCAACTTCTTTACCATTGCCGGCGGGCTTTGTCTTTTCGTCACGGCTATTCTCACCACGAAGGCCCTCGCATCCCCATCGAAGGGGCACTCGATCTCCCGGATTGTGTACACGATTTTGCTTGTCTTGATCGCTCTTTTCGCGCTGATCGTTTTCATCCTTCAGACCGTTATGTAAGTGTGAACCACTCGCCAAGTTTCCATCATTGGAATGCCTCTAACATGGTCGTCTGTACTTCAGTAATTCGATCAGAAAATATGGCTCTCGAGGAACAAACTACTCCAGACTCGCTAGGGCTACCCCCATTATCGGCCATACCTACTTCGGTTTGCTCGGTCTCACGACTCTTGTTATTAGTATTGGCTTGATCAGACGATGGACCCAGATCCGTGGCGTTGAGGTTCCCACGGTAAGCTCGAGTTCTTGTGCTTTTCCTTGAAGAATTGAAATCTAACTTCTCATCTCCTTCCTAGGCCGAACGATCTGCTCTCAAGATGTTCACAATTGCTGCCGTGCCCGTTCTGACAGCGATTATTGTCCTCGGCATCGTCTACAGAGCCATCTTCATCGGCGGGTCGTACTCGTACTACTACTTCTTGAACGCCCTTCATGGGTATCTCGCTTACCACTTCATCTCATTGATTTTCAATCTCTGGGGCAACATTTTGGTATTTGAGTTTGCGCGCAAGGCCATGAAGAAGCTCTCTATGATCTGAAGATCGATGGGGCGATGACGGGGATGGGAATGAGGTTACGAACTGCATTTTTGGATACCACCTGATAGACTTGATACCTCTTACTCTACATACCTAATTTACTTGGCTAGTTTCAATGATAATATCATTCACTCTAACGAGCTGAAGTTGTTTGGAGTTTGATGGATGAGAGTTTTGGTCCACAATTTTGAATCAAGATGTCATCATTGGGTAGATTGTGAATCGTGTAATCTTTGTAGCTAGGGAGGGAGCTGACCACGAGCGATTTTCGAGGCGGCAATTTGCACACGGAAGCTGTCTTTTCCCCTCCACACCACTTCATCATTTCCGGTTTGTGCTTCTAGAGAACACCGATTTGTTAACGCCCATGCGGTCTGCATCATTTGTCTTGTCTCATGCCTTTTGGCCCAGTGCCATTCAAAGCTTTGCCTAACCCTAGCACCAGACTCTGCCGCTCAGTCAGCCCTGCGCACCGCCAGCTTGTACGGTTTGCCTCGAATCTTTGAGCCAATAGAGTTGACAATGGCTGTGCTGCGCCCCGCTGACACGAAACTCCTTGGCGCCCTCACGATGGGGTCCTCAGCTCCCCAGCAACTCATCTCAAGTTCTCAATTACATGCAGTGTTATGTCAACTACCTTCTAGGCAGCCATGGAGTTCACGCTGACATTCGGCGCTGTCGGTGATTTTCTAGCACTTCTCTCACTGATCAACGACATCAGGTCAGCCTTGGACGATTGCCGTGGTTCGAAGAAGACATATCGCGATCTCGTCGAAAGCCTAACGCTACTCCAAAAGTCGCTTGAGCAAGTAGTGAAAATATATCAAGGACCTGGTTTCGCAAGCGGGTTACAGGACCTGGGGGCAATCGCCCAAGCCACTGTCAACCAGGTCTGCGCAGCTCTTCAGGAGTTTCGAGACCGAATCAGCAGCAAATACGGCTCCAGCCTGGCCAGCAACGGGTCAGGGAACGTCTTGAGGGATGTCACTCGAAAGATTCAATGGAAGTTTGAAGAGAAAGATGTCGAGCAGTTCCGCGCGAAGGTGGCGGGACTCACCGTGTCCTTGAACCTTCTTCTCGATGTCACGGCTGTGTAAGTAAATCAAAGAAAGCTCAACTCCCGGACTAATCTGATGAGCTATAGACGCCTCATACAACAAAGCCAGGAGGCAACGGCCAAACGAATTGACGATGCCGAGAAAAACACAACCAAGGTAGTTCAAAAATTTGGACAGTCGATCGAAAAGTCCTTCAGATTCATCGGTTCACGCATCATGTCGAAACTCGACTTCCTGTCTTCGATAGGGATGGATCTGAAAGACTCGGCATTTCAGATTGTCACCTTGATGTTCACTATGTCGAGAGACCTGACCAGCATGGGGGCAGTTCTCTTGAGGCTTGAGAGAGGTGTCGACAACGGCGAGCACTTTGTGCTTGAAGACGCCACAGGACGCACACTCCCCATCCACCTCAAGACTATCACATCATGGGAGGCATTCGAGTTCATCTTGAATGATCGGTTCAAGGGGAGGAAAGGGGAGCGCAGAATCCGACGGAAGCTGTACTCGCTGCATGAGAGTGCCAGTCATCAGGAAATCGATCGATCGGCCATGTTTGAAGATGCTTTCGTGCCCTATCAAAAGGTTGACATGAGCATAGTCTGCAGAGCTCTAGAGGTTCCGCAAGCTGATAGCTCAGGTGATACGGGGCTTTCGAGTTGTCCTTGGTGTCGTGCCACTTCACCGGGCAAACTGGGAGCTCGCGTGCAATGTCCAACTTGCAAAAAGAAGTTCACTCGGGTGGTAATCGAACTAGATGACGATCTTGCTGCGCCCATTGCCCCTGTCACAGATCACACCGTGAAACCCACTGGAAAACCTGGTCCGAATGGGGAGGAATGCAGCGAGTGCCATCAACCAAAAACACCCAGCGGTAATGACCAGAGAAGAAAGCTTCCAGTCGATCTGGAATCAGACTCTGATGAAGAAAATGTTACTGGCCTCGCCCACATTATTCTCCAGACCAAGAAAATGCGAGCCATCAAACTCAAGGAACCCGCGATTGCACCGCTTCAGGAGGCAAGCGACCCAAAAAACCAAGACGTTGCTGGAATGCAGCACCACACTGCACATGAGGAGCATCCTTTAGAGCAACCGGTTCGCAAATCAGCAGAGCAACAGCTAAAAACTTCAGGCAAGCCCCGACTACCGGCTCCGCGGGCCGCCACCATTGCAGACGCCGAGAAATATGGCATCCCTTCAGGATATTGGCTCAAAAACTGGGACCCCACCGAGGAGCCCATCCTCCTCCTGGGCTCGGTATTCGATGGTAACTCGATCGGCAAGTGGATCTACGACTGGACTGTCTATGACAAGGGCCCGTCAGCACCGATTTCAGAGATGGCTGGTGAGATGTGGCTGCTTCTTATCAGACTAACCGGCAGAATCAAGCGGAGTGAAGAAGTGGTAGACAGGATAGGGGACGAAGATGACAAGGAGGTTGTGGAAGAGTTTTTGGAGGCGGGTGACCGGTTGATGGTTAAGTTTCGCAAGCTTCTCAAGGCGTGTGAGAAGCCCATGTTGGAGACCAAAAAGGAAGGGAAGCTTGGGATGGAGGCGGGTGTTCAGTTTGTTAGGTGCATGTTTGGTCGGGAGTTTGAGCTGAAGAAGACGGAGAGGTGGATGACTTCGGTTAGGTTGTGGAATTTGAGGTTTGATGCGAATTGTGAGGAGGTGATTAGGAAACCTTGGATGCAACGTGCGACTGCGCCAGAAGTGGGTGGCGAGGTTGATGTGAAGAGCTAGGTGCTTACCGTGGTTTATTCATGTTGCACAATGCCTATCTAAGCTACCTCATCTACGGTTAGGTGGTCACAGATAGGTCCAAAGTTTAAATTGGAAGTAAGACTTTGTATTGACTTTTATCGTGTGGGGTTGTGTGTATACTCGGTGGTCATCATGTCCAACGCATACATATCCAAGAAACAGCATTACACCTCTCTCTGATATCATGACTTTTGTGTATAACGGAAATGAATTCTAGTACCACCCAACACCATGCTCAAAGGTTATCCAGCTAAATCAGAATAATGTAAACAAACAAGCAAAAGAAAAAAGAAAAAGAAAAAGAAGAAAAAACCACGCCAGATAAGCTCGACAGTGGCCCTACCCGCTGTGGAAAGACCAAAAGACAAAGCTTGACCTAGGAAGAAACACCACTTTGTCTACCTGTGGGAACTCGTCGCCCAATTCCTCCTCAAACCAGGCCAAGAGGCGCCAAAGGATACGAAGTGGGTCAAGTTGCCAGATGAGGTTTGCTGGACCACTCACTGTCTGGATTTTTCAGGTTCGAGAAGAGCAATAGTGCTGAGTCAGTGTTATCTTTGCTGAGAATTAGTAGTTTCGTGTGTGCTACCTACCGACAAGAAGCCATGGGAGTGAGGCTGAGTTGGGTGACCAGGGCGTTGCTCGGAGTCGGTTGACGAAGTAGGTTAAGGAGATGTGATGAGCTTGTGTTGGAATCCAGGAGGGCCATGATGTTGCTGGTGCGGTCCGTGGCGTAGCTTGCCGGTCGTGGGCAAGAGGTGAAGCTGTAGCTGCCTGTCTTTGATCCAGGATCTTGAGAACTGCCTCTCGGTCTTCCTTTTCTGGATACCAACAGCAAACGGATCGAGTCCGTATCGGTGGCAAGAAAATCGTGCTCTTGGGGGGGGTTTTCTCCCCTTTTCCATTTTCCGTTCTTGAGCCTCCATCGGCATCTGTGCCCTTTTGGTTTTCACACGTGCAACTTTCACTATCGCAGGTGAGGAAGCTCCGGAGATTGACGAGGAATCCGTCCATCTGTTTGAGACACGTCCCCACTCGCAAGCGGTCAGGTCTGATGTCCCAACGCTCAATCTCGTATGAGTGCTCTCCGATAAAGAGCCTGACCATTCGGCCCGCGTCGTTCCACTCCCAAGACGGCTCCGGAAGAGCATATTCCAAGCCGAGCCTGACCAGTTTCCACGCCAAGGCGTGGGGGAACTGGATGAGATGGTTTATTACAACTGCCCACATGGTAACCTCAGCGCCAGGGGCTCTGTGGTTCAGGTCAAGTCCCATGTCCATGAGTTGTTTCAATAGCCGTAACCTTTGTAAACCCGCTGAGCGGAATCACGCATTTTTGTAAGATCTCTGTAGAAAAATGTTTTGCGAGTATTTTAAAATCTCGGAAGACTGTGATTTGCGACAATTGATACTGCCAAACGAAAACCCTCCCGCCCGGTGAGGAGCTGGGGATAATTTGGCACTTTCCAGAGAACGTAATCGGGGATGCCGTAGTCGGAGGCCATGTAGAGAGGCCAAAAGAATAGAACTGAAGTGTCGCCCCTTTCCCATACGCTTTTGGCTCTGTCATGTTCGCACTGGTACCTTTTGAGTAACTCTGTGTCAATCGCGTCCAAATAGGTGAAATAAGTTGGAGGAGCTTCCGTTAATGCCTTCAGGGACGAAACCAAACCCGCAACGGCACAGAGCGCCACATCGTCACACAAACGGTACGAGCCGAACTCGACAGCTCTTCTTAGGGTGTCTAAATAGGCTGCAAGAGCATTGAAGTGACCATTGCTGTCGAGAAGGTGCTGATAGGCAGCGGAACCAGGCTGAAGGAATTCGACAAGAAACTCGGGGATGGAACGGTGAATGAAGTAGAAGTAACCGTGTGGAAAGCCTTCGAAAATAACTGTAAGGAGATTCCGACAACGGGCTAACAACTGTGCCGCAGACCTCGAAATTCGCTGTTCCATCTCTTCGTCGCCTATCATACCGGAACGTTGGATGCCCTTGCTGGAGCTTTGCATATATTCGTCCAAGAATGAAAACTGAGGCAATGAGCAAAGAGAAGCCTGCCAGCTTGAAAATTCGTATATTCCTGGAGCCGCCGTTAGTCTTGCAGCTACCAGCGCATAAGCCAGAGTGCAGCAAGACTCGCTCAGCTGTGACTCCGGGATCGAAGTGAGGATGGTTGTGAAGAGATCGTGAAGTTTTCGTGGCAGCAAGTCCACCTTCTTGCTGATATTATCCAGTGACTCATGGCATTCCAATGACTCGACCACATTCCGGATGGCCAAAATGACCCAAAGGAAGACGCCTTCGGACTTGCGCGCTAGTTCACGTATGAGGCGATCACAGTCCGCAGGCTGTTTGTCTCGAAGGCCTTGGAAGTTCGGGTTTGCAAACAGTCCTTGTTTAATGACTGCCAAAATGTCCGCCGCATCGAGCTCGTGTAGCCGGAATCTCTGCTGGGCGCGAAAGCGTTCCATGAAGACTCGGTCCTCTCTGCTTGAAACGCAGAGTTTCAGGCAGCCTCTGGAACTGTCAACCCACTCCATAATAGCGTCCAGGAGGTCATGATGTGACTGATGATCATCCTCAAATTCGTCCAGACCGTCGATGAAAAGGGCAAGCCGTTGGTGACTGTAAACATCGGGACTACACAGCAGCTGATTTAATCCGTCCGAGATCTCCTTGTTGTCAATGGAAAGCGCCGAAGGCTGAATTCCGGGTTGATATTCCGAAGGGTCCCAATGCTGTGGAAAGATGGTTTCGATGAATCCTGAGCACTGCTTCAGGATACTGTATAGCAGGGCACGCTTCAGGCCTGATAGACTTTTCTGTAAGGGAGTGCCTTGTCTCCAGAAGAAGAACTTTCCAAGCACCAACTTCCTGACATCGCCAACCCACTCTCCCAATTTCTCGTAGGTAGTCTCATGTTCAAAGAGAAATTTCATGAGCGTTGATTTTCCGGCCCCAGGCTTTCCGGAAATGTGCAATACACCATCGCCTTTTCGAAGCCACTCATCTACAAGCTGAACGGCTTTCAACTTCGACTCATGTTCTTGGAAGTCGCCTGAGGGTGTGACATCCTGGCCATCAAGAATCCATGAGTAGGTGTTGTCGGCAGCCGTGGCGATTTCCTGGAATCGCTGATCAAGGACGTGAAACTGTAATGCAGATAAAACGTTGCGCTGGTTTGAAAGTTCTCTGGCCTTTTGGACAGTTTGTGCACAATCCTCCGAGGCGTTCTGAATGCGCCGGGTAGGGCGGCAGGTGATGACGCAAGCTGCATCAGGTTTCAACCTGGAAGTGGAACCCCCCCAAAGAGCAGACCCAACTACCATGCGGTTCGAGGCCGTCATCAGATACGAATGAGGTGAGTCACGATGAGTCACTGACGAACTGGCAACACAGTCACGCCGATCTGTCCACAACCATCAGATATTAACCAAGTCGAACCCCCCAGAATACACCACATCAAAGTATACTTGGACAGCAAAAAAGAGAAGATGGGAATCATAACGCTGCGTGGCAGAGCGGGAATGCACCATGATCTACCTCGCGGTAGGCATTGGACTTCGCTGGTTCGATCCCAGCCGCAGCTAAAACACCCTCTTGTTCTTTTATCTGTCCTCTAATTACCCTGCACATCTGAAGTCATTATCATGCTACACATCAGCTCCTCAGATCTCAACAAACCTCTGTCCTACTTCGACGACTGACCCCCAGCATCCAACGGAGGACCGGCAGTCTTTGGCGTCTGACAGGGAGAGTCCTCCTCCTTCACTCCATCCTTCTTTTTCCATCCTGGTCAGAAGTCTCATCATCACCTTCAGAGCCCGCATCTGGTCCACTGAGGCACAGTGAGCGTCCCTTCTCAAGACGAAGCCGCAATCTCTCAATACTCTGCCCCAACCCTGATATATCACCGTCTAGCTCGTTCGGCACTTCCATGTCCCCAATCTCCCTTAGACTCTTTATAATTCGCTGCCCAGCCTCGCGAATAGGGCTCCCGGAGTATCGGAAAGGATCTTCAGACTTGGGAAGGCTCCCCTCTGTGGTGGCTGGAGGCCTGGAAGGAGTCGATGAACTTGTGAAGACAAAGGCAGGGGTATTCTCGTTAGGGCTAAGACTTGCGACTGAAGAGTGCGACATGTCTGCTGTGCTGGAGGTGCCGGGTGTTCTAGACTGATCATATTTGAAGGCCGCTGGGGCAGGTGTGCCTTTGTGTGGGTTGACTGTAGGCTTGTGGGAGCCAGGGGTCTGGAAGAGCTGGGTGAAGTCAAATAAAGGTGTAGACTTGCTGACTTCTGGCGATTTGGACGGTGTTGCGCCTGGAACGGGGGTAGAAAAGCCCAGCTTTGGGGGCGTTTTTCCCGCTGGCGGTGATGCTGACTCGGTGGAGTTTAATCTAGGAGAACTGGCAGATGTTGACTGCTCTATCGTTTGTTCAACGATGGCCTCTTGCTTTAGTACCGTAGAGTCTTCCGGGTGGTCCTTGAGCATGACTTCCGTTGTTTCCTCCGATTCTGTGGAACTCAGGGGCGGCGACTGCGTTCGAGCGTGATGAGCCACGGAATCCGTGCTCAAAGATTCCTTTGATGTAGTTCGCTCCGTCTTCTGATATTGCGAACGAGCCTTCTTCAAAGCCGTCTTCCACTGCTCCACCAAGGTCTTTGCAGTTTCGTCGTCGCTGTGATATCGGCACAAGCATTCGTGGCTCAACTCGCCGAGAAGTTCGGTCTCGAAATCGACATCGTGCGAACCAGACAGGCCGAGATCTGGGAGAATTCTCATGGTAGCCTCCCTTTTGGCCTGGCTGAGGACTCGTCGGCAGCGACGTTCTGCCCGAGTCCAGCCAAGACATGACCACGCTTGAACATCTGGATTCCACAGCTGGAGGAGTACGGATGGCTCCCATGGTGAAAGCGAACTAGGTGACTGTTGCGATAGGTCTATCAGATCGGCCATGTCGAAGCTGGTTTCTCGTCACGACCAAGCATATCGAATGGAAGCGTTGCAAGATCAGGAGCTGGACGAATCATTTTGTCAAGGAACATCAACACCACGTCATGAACAAGAAGGTGCCACAAAATAGACTTCGACTTGGGATCGGAGTCTCGTGTCGGGTGGAATGGTTTGAGTTTGGGACCTGCATCATGCTGCCCAACCACGAACTCTGAGGTGTTGTCAGCTTCATCTCATACATCCCACATATCATGTCTTTCTCAAGCCTCGACATGCTGGCCTGGCCATATCAACTGCCGTGAAGTCGTCGCGATGGGGGAAGATACCCGGGCGAACCCAAGACCCTTGGTGCTGCTTGCAGTACGTAAGCGTGGCCAAGTAGATGCATGTGACGCTATCTTGGGGCGAATGGCAGCGCCCAAAACGGAAGACACAAAATACAAGGGAGTCGAGGTTGCAGTGCCCCGCGATATTGTTGAAGCATGAGGCTTGAGCGGTGTGGGCCCGAGGGGCATGCGGGGGGTCGTAAGGGTCCTCCAGGGTTTCTTTCTCAGTGGATCTGAGGGTATCAACGGTCGTAATGGCACGGAGTCTTGACGAACCTCGTTGCATCTTGTGAAGCTCAATCCTGAAAGTGACGATAACATGGCTCGGGAGCCCAGTCTTGGTTAGCAGCAGTGGACACTCACTGGTGAGAGAGCTTGGCGCCGGATGGCGAGAGCTCATCCCTGCTCGGGAGCCTGCTGCTCAGGTGTTTCTCCAATGGGATGGCGCCAACTGCGGGAGCGGTGGAGCTGTTAAGCGGGGGAGATTGGAGAAGCTGCTGCGGTTCGCCAAACCGGAACCCCCACCTGATTTCCAGCGATAGATCTGCCTGCCAGTCACTGGCGGCTTATAACCAGCCTTTGGGAGAGATAATAGGCTGTGGTGCCGGTGTTTCTTGTCACCAGGACTTTTTCCCTCGTTGTCATGCTCCGCTAAGAGGCGAGTGTTGACATGCAATATCGACTGCCTCGGTGAGGTGAAGTCCATATGGCTCCAATATCTACACCGGGCAGCCGAGCCCAGAGCCCGGTCTCAGACCGCTCAGGCCATAGCCACCAAAACAACAACAACAACAACAACAACAACAACAACAACAACAACAGCAACAACAACGACAACAACGACGACGACGACGAGGACCCAGGTGCTTCTTCCGCGCGACTGGAACATGAGGACGGGGCCAAGGACAACGACGTGGTGGTAACGCCGAAAGTTGAATCTCATCAGACAGAAGATGACCCTGCTCCGGACGGGTCTGGCAATGCGGGCATTGCCACCACCGATATACCCACTACAACACTGCCTTCACCAGCCATTCCCACATCAGACGACCTCCCAGGTTCCCTCTCCACGCCGACATTTACAACATTTGTCTCACGAGATTCCCAAAGAACAACCACCGCTGGTCCAGCAAAAATGTTCTTTCTCGTTTCCCTGGCAAAATTTGCCGCTTTTACAGATGCCTTCCTCACGGGATTAGTATGACTTCAGTTTCACCGTCCAAAGCAAGAACATCATCACTGACTTCAGGTCGCCAGCTTGTTCCGTTGGTTCCTACCATTATTGAAGAAAAGACAAATGTCCCACCAGCACAAAGTAAGCGGCACCAAGGAACACCCGTTGATGCTCACTTTGCTAACTTTGTCAACCAAAGTCCAAGTGTGGATTGCTGTGTTTCTCGCTGCAGCTGGCGGAACAGCCGCTGTGGTATCCCGTAGGTCTTCTTGTCCTTACCACTTAGAGCTTGCCTGACTGTGATAGCCTTGATGCCCTTCGTAACTCGGCAAGGGCCTTTGACCTGGGTCATTCTACTTGCAGGACTCGCATTTGCAGGAGCCTCGTTTGCGCTGATTCAGACTGCAACCAGCCTCCAGATGCTGATTGCCGCTCGAGCTCTCCAGGGTGTTTCTTCCGCGGCAACGACTGGTGCATGTTCTGGCATGTTGGCAACAGCAGTTGCCATCAATGACCGGGCACCAACTTTGTCTTGGGTTTCACCTGCCTTCATTCAGGGGGTGGCCTTGACCGGAGCACCTGCGCTCTCCGGTTTTCTCTACACGCAGCACAAGGGTCCAGAAGCCGTCTTCTACCTTGCGTATGCTCTCATCACCTTCACCTTTTTGCTGACAATGATCGCTGCCATGATCACTCCCAAGATTGAAATCGGCCTTGCAGTCACCGACATCGACCACGGTGCAGAACCCACTTCCGCAACGGAACCTCGCGGCTACGGTACCATGAGTCCTGAACTCCATAGGGCCACGCCCGCTATTGCTAGCAGAATGCGTTCATCGAGATCGAGATCCCCGCATTCGGTATCCTCCGTAAGGTCGAGTAGAAGTAGCGCTTCTACTATCCTTTCAGAGCCATCCACCTGGAGCTTTCGCCTCTTGGTGGCTGTGTATGGCTACTTTGTCCTCAGCCTCCTGACGACTGCGCTTGCCACCGTACTCCCTCTCCGAATAATGCAAAAATTTGGGTGGACAGAACTAGGGGCTGGGTTGATGTTTGTGTGGCTGTCAGCCCCTGCCGTGGTGGTTGGGGTTTTGGCCGGCGCCTTTACTGCTCGAATCCCTGGATCAGCCCGTTGGTTGACATCCATTGGGTTTTTGGCGTCGGTTCCTGGTATCTTGTCGCTTGTCTCGGCGACAGGACAGACCACGGAAGACAACCATGGTATTCTCACGAATCCATTACTGTTGACTCTCGCCGCCATATCTTTCGCCATAGGACTGTGCGGAGATCCATTGATCAAGGAGATTACGAACGTAGTGGGACCTACGGCAGTCAACGACCCGTCAAGTGCGGCCGCCCAGGCATCTAGTCTTCCAAATATCGCGGCTGCTTGGGGAGGCTTGGTCGGACCCCTATTTGCTGGCGCCATTACTTGGGTATGGGGGTTCCAGATCTTGGTTCAGTCTTTGGCGCTTGTCGCCGCAACAACCGGTCTGCTGAGCGTCATATTTGTACAAGGCTGGCCTGGTAGTTCTGATGTTGATATGGGTCGGCATCGCGCACAACCTGCAACAGATGAAGAAACAGCTCCTCTTCTGGTCAACGACCATCAAGTTGCCGAGTTCTATCCTGCTGGACGACCAGGTATTTTGAGCAAAGGCAAGAAGAACAGGCCTTTTGCCGAGACTCCAGGCTCTCCTAGCGGCCGCAAGAATCGCACCCACCGTCGGCACTTCAGTGTCGACAACTCCTCAATTACAACGATAACTGGAGCAGGAAGTGTTGAGACGACAGGCGGTCAAGTCCGCCAAGTCCGCTTTCAGGCCTCTCTGGAGGACAGTCCGGATGGGCTTGGGACGAATCAGCCACCCACAAGGGAAAATAGCAATCAATCCAATCCCGAACGTCGCTATGTCATGAGAGAGGCCCCTCACGCACCGACGACTGATCCTCTCTTGGCCGCGGGCAGTAGGTACGTCATTGACGAAGAGAGGTCAGTCGCTGCTGGTACCGAGAGACCGAAGCGCCATGTGGTGGTGTTCGCTGAGGGGACAGCGCCACCAGAGCTGCTGGCACGTCATCGGCACCACACCGTTGCGATCAATGCCTTGGACGGAACCACTCAAATCGTATCGAACAGCACCGATAGTAACCATGCCGTCTCGGTGACAGAGGACAGTCTGGAGGATGCCGAGTTTTCCGAAGCCACTTCGACGCGTTATGTGGTGGTTGTTGTGGACGAGGGTGAAGATGAGAGCAGGTGATGAGGTGGAGAAGGGCAATAAAGTCAGTCGGATCGATGATGTGAGCGGCGTGTTTTTGTTGATATGACCCAAGGCACAATCCGATGCAATGTACATAACGAAGCCAGAATGATTAATTCGTATACCCCGGAGTTTAGGTTACCTATCCAGTCCATGTTTCCAGCCAACCAGGGCAACCAAACGTGACAAGGCTGCGCGATTCGGGAAGCTCTGGTGTGCGGGGTCGGGTGAGAAAACCTACGGTTGTGGTTTTGTGGTTGCCTTCATGAGCTGGTTGACGAAATTAGGCCAAACAAGATATACGAGAATCGGCAAGCGCAAACGAAGCGTCGGGCTGGACTTAATGAGGTTTTACGTTTTGTGGTACTGGACGGCCGGCACTGGTCAAGCCTCTCCCCCCACAGCTGATAAAACGAGTCGTGGCGCCATTTCCGACAGGGTGAGTTGAGAGCACCCCGACTGGACAGGCGGATCCTGCTGTCTTTTCACTGTGCGGACGACCGATCTGAAAGGCGGGTCCTGATCGTGGCAAGCACGCTGCACTATGCTGGCTCATGACGCGATCGAGCAGTTGGCCAACAGAGAGAGAGAGGCATGGGCAGTTGACGGGCCAGTCGAGGAGCTGCCGGCCGTGATGGTACCAGTCATTGAGTCTAGGCTACAGGGGATAGTGGCAGGTGAACGACGCGGTCTGCGTCGACACCATCGATACCACCCGCATATTAATATCAACACCCCGAGCGAAATCCAAGAGCAGCAGATGGCCGGCGACGGCCTTCCTGCGTATACACGATACACCGAGAATACCCCCAATGATGCTTCGGAAGACTACATGGACGAGGATAGCGAGGATGACAGTTCAGAGCCCGAATATCCCACCGTCCTATCCCCCCCTCCGTCATATCACGCCGAAGCGCAGCGAGATCCACCGGTATGGAGAGCCCTCACCAGGCTAAAATGATCTCAGTCTTCTGACCCCGTGTATATGTTTCTCAGACCTACAATGTAGCCATCCCAGGCATCCAATCAGAGCGCCGCTCTGAATTACAGCGGCAATGGGTGTCATATGCAGAAGGAAAGCGGTTCGAGCACCGACAAAATTATGTATCATGGAGGACAGCACGGAGTAGCAACAGCGCGTCTGATACCTCATCCGTGACCCTCGCCGGTAGCCCGAGTAGTTCGCCTTCGAGCTTTGATCCCTTGCCGGCCGTGGAACCACCACCACCACCTCCTCCTCCTCCACCGCCTCCTCGATCACCACCAGCAGTGACCCCGCTGACGACACGTCAACGAGCCAGGCGAGCTCTTGCGCAATTCCCAGCGAAATTGGGTGGCTCCCTCGCCAAAGCCATCATGCTCGATAAGATGGCTTCCTGGGCGGCCAAGACGAAACATTGGAAGAAGACAAAGCGGGATTATGTCAAGGAGGTGTCTGGGGAGAGGTGCTTTTTTGTTGGTGCTGTGGATAGGATGCCTGATGGACAGGCTGCCTCGGATTCAGGCTCAACTCGGCCAGCTACGCCGGCTGTTCAAGTAGTGCCGCCACGTGCTGATCCGGTGATGAGTGTTTTTGTTCCGAATGAGGGCACTGGGTTTGAGAGGGGCAGGAGACACGAGCCTGGGAGTGATTCAGCTGGGTCCTCCCGACCGGGGACGGCAACGGGCCTTGTGCGGTCAAGCTCGCTACTCAAGAGGGTGGCAAGTTTGACGAAGAGGAAGAAAGGTGTTGATGGGGAGGCGGGTTTTCCTATACCGGAACTAGGGAGGAGGCCGAGCAGGAGGAGACCGGGGGATGACCTGGAGATGGTGGGGGGTTAGGGGAGTGTTGCTGATCGGGTCGAGGATGACTTTACATACATATATACTTCCTCGGGATGATGGACATACGCAACGCTAGAAGGGAAAAGCAACTCGACAGATGTTGGTAGTTTAATGGTTGGGCGTTGCTTTCTTGTTTCCTCCCCCAACATACACAAAGGCGACAGTCTACAAGGCCATGGAGGCGCCACCGCAAATTACCAGAATATTTGCATAGAATACACAAGCATATAACCAATCCCTTGCTCTTTCCAAACCCTCATCAAGGCGACGTTCATTCATGAAGAGGGTTAGGGTACAAATCCTATGGCACTTGCCCCTGCAATTGCCCCACGTCGTTCGTCCCTGCCCAGGGATTTGACGTCAGCTCAACCCGGCAGGCACACTCGCTCAAAAGCTCCTTCCCAGACAAAATACCATCCCAACTTTGACCAGGAATGCAAGACTGGTCAAATGCGTCTTAGCAGCTGGCGTCTGCTACTCTACTCGGTCCTAACACTTATTATGTCCATTATCCTTCCAACCCTTTACAAAACAAACCCATTGCTGCTCTCAACTCTACGAAACAAGTTCATCACAACAACAACAACAACAACAACAGTAACAACAACAAACAACCTCTTCTTCCGCCAAACTCACAAAATGACCACCGTCCACCACCCCTCCCACCCGTCCATCCCCATCACCCTCCCCGACGGTCTCACAAAAGACCAACTCCTCAATTTCCATCCCTTTACCGTGTGTTCCCCCTTCCTTTTATCCCCCATCCATCAACTGACTTGATCAACAGTCCTGGCTATCAACCCTGACCACCTCTCTCACCTCCCAATCCATCACCCCCTCCCACCCCTTCTCCCCCAACCCATACACCCTCCGCTCTGTCAAAATCCAATCATTCGACCTATTCGGCCCCAGAGTCGGCTTCCTCAAGCTTGTAGCCGATGTCAAAAACGATAAAAACGAGACGCTCCCCGGCGCGGTGTTTCTGAGAGGACCATCGGTGGCTATGCTTGTGATGCTCATACCCGATGATGGCAAGGATGAGGAGGAGAGGTACGTTTTGCTGACGGTGCAGCCGAGGGTTGCGGCGGGGAGTCTGGAGTTTGTGGAGTTGCCTGCGGGGATGGTGGATGAGGAGGGGGAGTTTGTGGGGACGGCGGCGAGGGAGATTGAGGAGGAGTTGGGGATTAGGATTGAGGAACGGGAGTTGAGGAATCTGAGTGAGATGGCGTTGGGGGAGGAGGGAGGAGGGGAGGGGTTGGGAAGGGGGGTGTACCCTAGTCCGGGGGCGTGTGATGAGTTTATACCTATTTTTATGTATGAGAGGCGGGTGCCGAGAGATACGTTGAAGGAGTGGGAGGGGAAGTTGACGGGGTTGAGGGAGCATGGGGAGAAGATTAGTTTGAGGTTGGTGAAGATGGGTGATTTGTGGAGGGTGGGCGGGAGGGACGGGAAGACGTTGGCTGCTGTGGCGCTGTGGCAGGGGTTGAGGAGGGAGGGGAGGGTGTAGATGTGGTGATGGGAGGATGGTGAGGCGTGGTGTTGTTGTTGTTATTGTTGTTATTGTTGTTGCTGGTGCTGACAGCTGGTTGTCAGGTGATGAGACATTGCTGGTAGGTCGGGTTCGAGACTCACGCTTATAAGATGCAGATGTAGAGAGGAGGTTAACAGTAAACACTACAGGGCGTATGGTCTAGTGGTACGACGTCCCAGTTGCAGATAATGTTCAAAGCCTTGAAGCCGTTGGAAGCTCCAAAACAGGTGAGAGGGTTTCGAATGATGTAGTGCCCCATGAGAAGCTCCCAGGTTCGAACCCTGGTACGTCCATCTTTTGCAGTTTTTGGGGCAGCTTTTTGCTTGTGGTTTATTTTCTATTATTATACCCAATCTGTGTTGATGTTTGTCTACCTGAACTCCTTGCTTTAGATCCCTCGATTAACATGACTATTCCTATTCAACCTCCCGCATCTCTCGGTTCATGATGACCCTCACAGCTTGAACTTCTTTGCAATCTCAATACCCTCGGCCAAATTCGCTATCCTAGCATCAATCGCGTACCCTTCCTTCTCCAGTCGTATACACTCCTCCCACAAATCAACAAGCTTCACGTAAAACACCTCGATGAACTCATTCTCCTCCAGCTCCGGCTCCAGGTTTTGATTCTGCGGCAAGCTCATATCGACACTGACGTGCACCATCTTGAGGTTGGTGTTCGTAAAGCCGGGGTCGTTGAACATGACGGGCGAGGACTCTATCACCTCGCAGACGTAACCAGTCTCCTCCTTTAGCTCACGAACGGCGGCTTCTTCTGCCGTCTCGCCCTCGTCGATGAGGCCGGCGGGGAGCTCGATGACGATCTTGTCCAGGGGTGGGCGGTATTGCTTCTGGAGAACGACTTCGGGACCGGTGGGCTTTTCGAGGATGGCGACGATGCCCACGCCGTCGATGCCGGATGCTTTGGGGCGGGTGCGGCGCTCGGCGGATTCCCAGGTGCGGGTTATGCCTTTGGGATCGAGGTAGATTTTTCTAGAGAGAAAAGGGTGGAAAGGGGTTAGGAGGAGAAACCACGTCGTGGAGCGTTCGTTTGTATGGCTTACTTGACAAGTTTGGTCCAGACTGCTTCACTATCCGGCTATATGGACATGTTGGTTTATGGGTCTTGAATGTTTGTTTTGTTTTTGTTATGGGAGGCTTACAAGTGGCTCGGTGGCTATTACTTTTGCTTCGGATTCTGGTGCCAGAACCATTTTGGATTGCACTGGAGGAAAATAACTTTCGTCTGACCTTGCTATCATTTTTCTGGGGGGAGTGTGTTTTGTGAGGTTGTTCTGGTGATAATGTGGAACAATGTCGGTGTGTAAGTCGAGGTGGTGAATGATAATCTGGGGCACCTCTGCGGCTAGGGCTCCACTGAAGCCGATAGGGGATGCTGGGGTCACCGCTGTGACCCACCCGCTGTATCTGTACCACAGCCACGGTGTAAGTGCCGCTGGCCAATGACGATGGAGGCAATGTGTGATGTGTTGGCTGTTCTGAAGCTTTTCTTCTTGCGTGCCAACAGCGGTTCCTGTGATGCTGGTCATGTGGTGTATGGACGGCTGGAATTGCCCTGGATTGGGTCTACGGGGCTGGTACGCCGGCAGCAGACAGCTGCAAGGGCGAGTCGGTTGTAGTTTGCGTTTATCGAGGATGGCTACCTTATTGATAATGTATCGTTGCTGTCGTCACCCATGACGGGAATGCCTGGTGACGTTTGACCTGACGCGTGTTTGATGTCGAAATGGTTGGTCCGGAGGAGTGAAATGCCCGCCCTGCAGTGATCGTGATTGCTTCGTGTTGCAAGATCCGTTGTGGAGCTGAGACCGCCATACTTTAGCATCCTCACAGCTCTCGTGCACGTTGATGGGCATCAGGGGCAAGATTCTGATATTTTACGCTACTCATGAGGCTCTAGACGTTATGACATCTCAAAAGTCAGACATCCCTTCCTCAAATGTTCCGGGACGTCCCGGTAAGGCTGGAATGTGGGTTAGGGTTCCTGAGGGCCGCGACAAGGCCGCGTTTATCGCAACCTCTCATTGCATTCCCGCAAATAAAAACTGCAACATCACCACGCAACTACCTACGAATCAATCCATATCGTTTTGAGTAAATGCTCAGATGGGCATCAAACGTGTCCCTTACCTGCCTTTCTCGGTGTCATTTTTTTTGTAGGTCTCGGACGGAAACAGGGGCGGCGGGCATATTGACCGCCGTGCCGCTCGCCTCACCTTGCACCTCGGTGCCTTGTTTTTGCTGCGCGTCATGAAGCTTGTTTCGACTTCTTCTTATCAATCAAGATCTCTTGACATCCTTGGCTTCATTTTTACTCGGCTGATTCAGTTTCTACTCACTTCTCGCTTTCTACTTTCGTCAGTAATTCCAATCGCCGGCTGCCACCAAAATGGCACCCAACGACGATGACGACAGAGCGAGCATCGCAACAACAGAGGAAACCCCCCTCCTAGCCGGCTCACCAAGACCGTCATCACCTCGCCCCAACCAACATGAACATGATAGCCAACACGGCCAACCAGCTCTTACTGCTACCACTTCCAAGAACGACCAACTTCGAAGCCGTATCCGGCCCCGCGTTCTGATTCTTGTGTTTGTCACACTCTTTTTGATCGAGTTGGGTGTTGGCATCACAGTCGCCCCTAACAGCGCCATCATGGAATCTATCATTTGCCGGCAGCACTACCCCAGGCTGCCGCTTTCCCCGGACCATCCAATACGGCAGTTTGCAGGGGGGGTGGCGCTGATAGATGACCCTATTTGCAAGTCACCGGATGTGCAGTCCGAGCTGGCCATGTTGAGAGGGTGGGCGCAGACGTTTGAGTGTATTCCTGGTCTTATCGGGGCGGTGCCATATGGGATATTGTCGGACAGATGGGGCCGGAGGCCGGTGCTGGCGTTGAGTTTGCTTGGCTGTTTGCTGTCGGTGGCGTTTATGTATTTGGTTTGTGAGTATAACCTCGATACCTGGGAGATGAGGGGGGTTGTGCTGATTAACTGGCTAGTTTACTTCTCGGATGTGGTGCCGCTGTGGTGGTTCTGGTGGTCGTCGGCGTTTGAGCTGTAAGTTTGGCGACGTCGGACAAAAGGTTGTGCTGAGGTTGAAATAAACATGAGGGCTAACATGAACGGTCAACAGTATTGGCGGTGGCGGCACCGTTCTGGTGGCTATGCTTTATACTTTTGTGGCAGACGTTGTCCCCGTTGACGGGCGCGCAACAGTTTTCCTGCAGCTAAACGCCCTGTTTTTGGGCTCGCAGATGCTCGCCGGTCCGCTGGGGGGCGCCATGATGGTGAATGACCCGTGGATTCCACTATGGGCATCCTTGATCATTATAGGGGGTGCGAACTTGCTCGTTCTCTTTTTGCCGGAGACGCTGCACCTTCACGACAAGAAGAACATGGCAACCGCTTCAGAAGACGACATGGACGACGAGAGGTCAGGGTTGCAAAAGCTCTTATACAAGACAAAGACTGGGTTGGAAGAAGTCTGGGAGTTCATTCTTGGAAACAAGAGCGTAGGTTTGTTGATCTTGTCTATGACTTTTGTTATTCTTGGTCGGTTCGTGGGCGAGATCTTGCTACAGTACGCCACAGAGAGGTATCACTGGAGTTGGAGCAGAGCGTCATATCAGCTCGTGATACGGAATGCCTTCAGCATGTTCACGCTGCTGGTTTTGATGCCTTTTGCCAGCTGGTTTTGCCTTCAGCACCTGGGAATGTCGGCAGTGGAGAAGGACATCTGGTTGGGCCGATGGTCTGGTGTCACGGCGGTGGCGGGCTGTCTGATCATTGCTGGAGCGACCAACGGGGTGCTTTTCTCTGTGGGACTGATCTGGTTTGCGCTTGGCTCAGGGATCACGTCTGTGATTCGGTCTCTCCTCAACAGCTTGGTGGAAGAGCACCATGTCGGTACCGTCAACACTTTGGTAGGCTTCATGGAGAACGTCGGGATGATGGCAGCTGGCCCTCTTCTGGCTAAGAGCCTCAGCCTTGGACTCGAATTGGGAGGCCTTTGGGTCGGTCTCCCACTCATCACGGCTGGAATGTTCATCGCGACTTCTACGGCGATTCTGTGGATCTTTCGGTTACCGAGACGGCCATCGTTGGTGGATCTGAGAGCTTAGATACGATGCGATCAGATCTCCCCAAAATCCCATCGCGATTCGCCGGGAGATCAGCTCAGCTGAAGCGGGATTCAAAGCTTCCAGAAGGAGCGCAGATGACGTCGAACCCCAGGTGTCATCAAAATAGCCCCGATAGCTAGCTAGGATAGACCCAGGACGCCACGATATCTGAGAGGACCCGGATTGTCGGGAATTGGCCGCTTTGCGAACCCGCGCAGAGTCATGGACTAGGGGTGAAATATGGCCTCATCTGGATCGATAGTTGACAAAGAAGAAATGAGATTTTTTCTCTCACTGAGAAGAGGCTAAAAAACCAATATGCAGTCCGAGTCAGGATGGAAGCAGCAATGGAGCTGAGGAAGATAGGAGATGCAGCTGCAAGGGGCTCTTGGTGTGTTCAGCAAGCCACAGCTGCCAAACTGCAGGTAGCCGGTAATACCAAGCACAGACCATATGCCGCCCACAGGCAGCCTCTTGTGCAAACTATCGACTTCCCCTTTCCACGACCATTTTTCTTCAACAAGTTGGCATGTGTAACGTGCTCGCGAGAAGAGCACAGCAAACGTCCTTTCCGTACGGGTACATACAACCACAAGGTGAAACGCTCCTCCAGGTCGATCATCGATCCGATAATTGCGATTGCCAATCCACCCACGGTTTTGTCTTGCACCCCGCTGCTCCCGCCTTGGAAGGACGGCACGGGAGGGGTGATGAACCGCTACCAATACAACCTCAGAATTGTTGTAAGGTCGCGTCCAGTCCACGTTTTCCTGCATTAACTCTGCATGCAGCCATCACAGCTATCGACGATGTTGCAAGGACGTCATATACGCCGTAAACCAGCTTCTCGTGGACCAATCTCCTTATCGCTTCCCCTGCATATCCCGTCCGATAGCCGGCCACACCACATCTCCTTCCTTTTGGAAACCACACAAGCCTCACCAGCGGGTGTCTCTTATTACCCAGGTACTTATCGGACCTGTTTCTCACAGCCAGCCAGCCCCCATTGCACCATGGAACAAGCCCAGAAAGTCGGCTTTCCGCACTGGGCTCCCCAAAGCGGCTGGCTGGGGCCCCTGGTTCGCCAGCATGCCAGGGCCCTCTTGCTAGCGTTGCCATCTCGTGCGAATCATCTCCACCAGCGCGTAGCCCCAGTCCCTGAATGTGAAAAAGATGCGACCATTTCCCCCTCTCCATTCCTCTCTCTTCAGCTTGCTGTTCGGGTGCTTTCTCTCTGCTATCCTCTTGTCTTCTTGCTGTCGGCGGTCCTGTCCCTCTCGACAACACTCGTTTGCTGGCTTTCACCTGCCTGGTCGCTCATTACATACACACACATCTCACCATTCGTCGTTTATTTACTTCTTTTGGACCGTCAAAAGTTTCTGTCACCGCCCAGCCCGACAAACCCCACGCTGCCCCTTTTCCGGGCTTTGATCTCGAAAAGCGCTCGGGCTTCCATGCCGGGAGTTTCCCAGACGACTCGCAGTTGAACAAGTTCGATTTTACACAAGCGACGCGTTGTTACGTTTCCAGCCCCTGCCGTATTCCGACCGAGTAGCACCTCAGACGGACTGAGGTAGCATTGGATTGCTCGGTTTTATATGTGTGGGTTCCGCCAGAAGAACAACCCCCTCCAAACTTCGTCATCCTGACTCTTCTCTTCTCAGTAATGTATTAGTCTAAACAATAATCACTATCTGCCAAAATGGTGTCTTTCTTTGGCCTCAGAGTTGGAGGCAAGAAAAAGTGAGTGGTTGTGACATCTATGCTGGAGAAACACCCGCCAACCGTTGATGCTACAGGAAGGCGGAAACCAACCCGGCGAAGGAGCCTGAGAGGCCGAAACGGATCGATCAGAATACGCTGGGAGAAGGACAGTTCTTTGGGGTCAACACAGACGCAAAGAGTGTGTTCAATGAGGGCAGCATTCGATCGGTTTCCCGCGCTGGGGCTGGAACGCCCCAAGCCGGCGTCAGAGGCCCATATACCGAGACACACAACCTTGGCGCGGTGAGTATGTTCGACTTGGGAAGTGCCTCTCGCAGCGGCAGTCAGGCCAGCTTTCGACCAGACTTGAAGTCTCCTGCCTCCGACATGAACTTGGGTGGACGGTTCGGTGCGCAGGGCGGGTCCTCGACAAGTCTGGCCCTCCCACCCGGACCTCCTTCTAGGATGGGCTCGAGACCAGGAACGCCAAGCGGAAGAAGCAAGGCCTGGGTCAATCCGCTGGATGTTCACTGGGCTAGAGCTACACCGACAGCACCGACCCCGTTGAAGATTCACCCTCTGGCGCAGTCCAGCATCGAGCTTCCTCCCCCAACGCCAACCAAGTCCGACGCGGGCTCTGTCTTTGGTGAAGAGGCAGATGATATGGTGGATGCTGTCATGGCCTCGGTGAAGAAGCAAGAGGAAGAAAACAAGGAAAAGGCGCGAGAGATGGAGAAGAAGAAGGAGACGGCACGTTTGGAATTGGAGAGGTTGGAGAGGCAAAAGTCAAACGAGTCCATGCTGCCTAAATCGCCGGTTGAACGACAACATCAGCTGTCTTTTTTTGACAGACCACAAAACAGTCCGACATTGCCTGGGCCAATGTTCCGGGGCAATGTTGACCAGAGACCCAGCAGCCGAGGTGGTCCACGCCAGGATAGCCCTATCAGTCCAACCGGAGGTCAGTCACCTACTATTCATCAAGGTCCCCCTCCTACCGGGCCGCCTACCCAGTCTCTTCCCCAGCCCCCCGGTCAGGGACCGCGTCAAGGACCACGAGGACCTAATGAAGCTAGAGGGCCACAGCAGACCAACACTCCCCCGTACAGTCCAACTCACAGTCCAACTGAGGCATCTCGGGGCGGTTTCCCCCCGAAGGCTGCTCTGGGTCCCAATCCGAACGAGCCCCCCCGGGGCCCTCCTCGGAGCTCGCCTCCTGGTCTTCGAAACGGACCGCAGAGCTTTCATCTTCATGGTCCACAACAGCGCAATTCTCCCCCGCAAAGTGCCGGTCCGTATCGTCCGCCTGGACCGCACAACAATGGACCAAGGAACGGTCCTCCTGGCCCTGGCCCACGAGGTCCCGGCTTTAATGGACCACGATCTGAGAGTCCCATGCGCAGGCCGATGGCACCGGGGCAGTACCGATCCGAAAGCCCTGCGCGCAGGCCAATGGGCAGCGGAGGGCGTTCAGAGTCTCCCGGACCACGGTTTATGGGAAATCATCAACGTCGCCCTGAAAGCCCTGGCCCAAGGTTTAGGGGAAATAACGAGTTCCGATCAGAAAGTCCCAGACGTGTGCCTGGGAGCAATGGTCCTGGCCCTCAACAGTTTCCTCCTGGAATGGGTCCCCGACCCGGACCGGGCCCGGTTCCTCGCCCACAGGTTAATACCACCTTCGCCCCTCGTCCACAACCCGATGCAGCGGCCGTCTCTAGCCCCCAGGTCGATGCTGCCCCTGAGCTCCCAACGCCGGTGAGCGAGGCCAGAAAGTCACCGCCCCTTATTTCTACACTGACATCCCCTACGCCGTCAACTGCAAGATCATCTGTTGATGATGAATTTCTGGACCAGCTTACCACTCCGCCTGTTATCCGGGATGTCAGTGCGAAGCGGGACACTCTCCATGCGACTCACCGTGCTGAACAGAGCTTGTCTATGAAGATAGAAGAGCTGGAAAAGACCATCCTCTCTCAACATGTCTTGAAGCCAAGAACGACAAATCTGGCCCCTGCGCCTGTCAACCACAGAATGAGCACCGCGAGCAGCTGCTATAGCAACGACATGCCCGATGCGAAGGACGACGAGCATGATGAGGACGACAACGATGAGCCAATCTTGTCTATTCAACCTGCTCCATTGCGGATCCCCTCTCCTCTGCCTCCTTCCGTGGCGGCTGCTGTCACAAGCCCAGTCCAGTCCCCTGGAAGTCCCATCCGAGCACCCAAGGCCGGTCAAAGGCCCAGACGCCCCGGTCTTGAGGAATATGGTGTTGCCAGCAGCCAGCTGAGCTCTCCCCGCGCCCGCGTCCCAACCCCAGTACCCGCCACCCTGACCAGCCCAACAGACAACAACAGCATCCGTAGCTTCCACACAGCCAACAACTCTCCTCCCTCTCGCTCCACCACACCCCTCAAATCCAAGCCCAGTCTCCCTATCCTCGTCCCTCCTACAACCGCATCCACCACCGCCATCTCCCCAGCCGAACCGCCCAAACCAATCCCCTTCATCGACACCGGCTTCCAGTTCGACTTTGGCACTACCACCACCACCACCACCGGCCCCTTAACCCCCGACTCCTCCCACTGGCACGTCAGCTCCCCCGTCACCGAATCCGCCGCTGCCCCAGGCGTAGCTATCGCCTCCGCCCCCGCTCCCACCACCACCTCACCATCATCACCAGAGGATACCGACCTTCCCAAATTCACCCGCCCCAACGTCCCCCCCCCCCTCAAGCTCAAGTTCAATTTCTCCCCCGAGGCCTCCTCCCGCGATCCCACCTTTGGCACCCTCACCCCACCGTTATACTCGGCACCCCCCATGATCGCCGTCAACGACGGCCGTCCGTCCACCTCGGCGGGGTACAACCCTTTCCCCCACGGCGGGCTGCAAGCCTCCCCGCAGTTGATCTCTCAGTTTCCAGAAAGCATGAAGGACGAGAACAGGTTGAGTTTCATGGGGATTGGCGTGGCGAGGGGGCCGAGCATCAGGGAGGTGAGGAGGCCGGGGACGAGCCACGGCACCGGGCAGGGGCATAGAATGGTGGATAGTTTTGGGACGGGGTTCATCTGACACACACACACACACACACACACACTCGTTCGTTTTTCTTTATTAGCTGTGGTTATATTTCGTGTAAATATTTTTTGTGTATCAACCAACCCCTTTTTGTGATGAATATCTGGAAAAGAGAACAGACATTGGATACCAGGAAAGAGCAGGAAATCATCATCATCATCATCATCATCATCATCATCATATCATGGGCTCTGTTTCCACAGGGCCGAAAGAGAATAAAATCCTGAACTTTGTCACACCACTTCATTGTGTCCGCTTTGTATATATCCGTCCATCCATCACCCCAAGAAATTCCTCACCATCCCCCCCACATTCTTCACATCCAGCAGAAACGTATCATGTCCAAACAGACTCTGCTCCTCGCTCAGCTCATAATGCGCCACGTTCCTGTTCCCCGCCATCCTCAACGCCTCCGCAATCTCCCTCTGCTGCCACGCCGGGAACAAAATATCGCTCGCCACCCCCATCACCAGCACCGGGTGATCCCACAGCACCGACAACCCAGCCACCAAATCCGCCGGCGGCTTCTGCCCCGGCCCCGAGTAATTGCTTCCCCCACTACCGAACGAGCTCCCCCCAAACCCAAGCCCATCCCTCTCAAACTCCTCGTGGTGCTCCGGCTGCTCCTCATAAGGCGTATCCGGCAACGTCAAACTACACGCGTCTTGCTGATAACCCCCCTGCCCACCCCCCTCCCTCAACGCCTTCTCCCTCTCTGCCCTCTTGGCCCGAATCGCAACCTGGTTCTCCCTCCCCAAATCAAACAAATCCATCGCCTTGCTCACATAAATCAGACTGTTCGGATCATACGTCAGGCAAAACTTCTCCCCCGCATGATCCAGATACGTCTCCACCAAAAAGTCCGGGCACAGCGCAGGCGGTTTGTCCTTGTCCGCCCTCCTCCTCCCAAACCTCTGCTCCCATTCCGGGCCGGACCGGTACGTGATGGTGGCGATCTCCCTCGCGAGCTTCATCCCGACGTGGGGGGGGATTTGGCCGTAGTAGTACCCCCTGTTCCAGTTGGGGTCGTTGAGGATCGCTTTGCGCTGGACGTACCGCATCGCGATGCTATACGGGTGCGACCTCGCGCAGGCAGAGATGCTCACTATCCTGCCGACTCTCTCCGGGAACGCGACAGCGGCGGCGAGGGATTGCATACCCCCCATGCTGGACCCGACACTGGCATGGAGCTTTTCCACCCCTAGGTGATCCAGCAGACGGAACTGCGCGCGCACCATGTCCGTTATCGTCAGCAGCGGGAAGCGGGTCGCGTAGCGTTTGCCGTCTGAGGGGTCGATGCTGCTTGGTCCGGTAGAGCCATAACACCCCCCTATGACGTTCGTGCAGATGACAAAGTATTTGTTGGTGTCCAGGGCCAGTCCGGGACCGATAAACTTCTCCCACCACCCGGGCTGGGGGTTGGCGGCGGTGGAATGGGCGTGGGAGGAGGCGGATAGGCCCGTGTGGAGGAGGATGACGTTTGTTCGGTCGGCGTTCATCTCCCCCCAGGTCTCATAGGCAATGTCGAATTCGACGAGCCGGCCGCCGTGGTCGAGGAGTAAGGGGTTGTTGGAGTGGAATATTTGGGTTGCGCCGACGGTGTAGGAGGGCTCGGGACCGGAGGAGGTAGAGTCGGTACGGGTTTGGGAGGCGGAGGCAGCGGCGGCCTGTTGCCGGAGGGTTGCGGAGCGGGACTCGAGGGCGTCGACGCAGGGGAAGGACATGGCGGGGTTGGAGGGGGCGCCGCTGCGGCGGGGGGGTTGGTCGTGAAGGTGACGCCGGTGAGGTTGCGCCGCCGCCGTCAAGGGTCGCATACCCGGTGCCGCCGCATTGTGGCAGAGGGGTGTCGCGGGGTTGCTGCCGGCGGCACGGGTGAGGGCGGCCGAAGCTTGTCGGAGACTGGATGTGACTTTGGTTCGTGACTTCATGACGTTGTGGTATAGATTTGAACTTGAGTGATCTGGGCGCACCGCAAAGCAGCTCAATCGATGGCGGGTGAGAAGTGGTATAATTCGACTTCGAGATCGGACGGCGACTTTGAAATCATGGTGGAGATCTTGATTATCAATGCCGTGGGCTGCCGTTGCCGGCGCCCTTGATGGCCATTTTGTTCGAGCTTGACATCGAATCCAGCAAATTATTGCATGGGGGCAGCATTACGTGCTTTCACGTGCATCCAGGGGTTCTCGTGGGGCAATCCTTGGCACACACCCCTGGGGGTTGACTTATAGCTCCCCTGATCACCGTTCTTATCTTATCGGCGGTGGAGTGATGTCACAGGTGCTGTCCCGCCAATGACGTTGCCCAACGCTCAGAGGTTCTAGATGCCTCCTCCACCTTTGAGCTCCCCTCCAAAACCTACGCACACCTGAGCAACAGCCCTGTCTTACACCTAGGCTGCACTGCCCATCAGGCTGCGGGTTAGGTCTCAAAAACAGCTGAAGAAATACTACTATAACACGCGTCGCATCCCGTCTTTATGTTACCCGGGAACCTAGCCCCTCCCTTCCTGCCATCTAGGAACAGTTCTTGCCCAAGTCAAGCACACATCACTCCACTTGAGCACGTACCGTAAACATCACCAATCAGGCAACAACCCTGCTACTGCCTACTGCTGCTGCCATCAGAACTGAAGCTTGTGTTCAGCATGTGGAACACGGTCAGTCATATATTGACCGGCATACTTCCTCCCGTACTGCCCATCCGGCCTCGTCCAGACTCTGCACCAACTCCAGCCGACGGGACGACTGCACAGGACCCTACCACAGGCAAGATGGACGCCGAAGGGATGTACAAACCCAGCATCATTGACGTTATTGTCGTCAAGGCCATGCTGGTCAAAGGCCTCCAGATTCCTGTAGAGATCGCCGACAACATTATTGAGCTCGCCGAGTACTGGCCGCACGTCACCGCCGAGGTCACATGGGGAGACGAGCGCCCAAATCAAGTATGGAGCGGCGAGAGCAGAGAGAACCAGTTCTTGGTAAGCTCTCAAGCATACATAAATCGATATACCGTGGCTTACACTAACACAACATGTTACAGCTCCGCACACCACCCCTAGGCTTCCCAGACTGGGGAACCGACACAACAAGCTACACCAAAACGATCCATCCCAAGCCCCCTGGTGAAGGATATCCCACCTCGAGCTTCCAAAAACTAGCCAAATCCCCAGTCACTCTCCTCGCCCAGCCATGCCGCCGCATCGTCTTCACCATACGATCCAAAGATCAGGGCTGGGGCGGCGAGTACCACAATCAGAACACCTACAACGGCTCCTGGACATGGTTCGAAGCCGGGCTGGAAAGGTGGTGTAAAAGCCAGATACCTGATCCCCCACAGCCATGTGAATCCCATGAAGACCCAGTTCAGAAACCGGTGAGAGATGATGACGACAACGACGATGATAAGCAACTGTCAATGAACCTCGAGGATCTGGCCACCGTGATTCCCGAGGTGGTGGTTGACCCGCAAAGTAATGAGTTCAAGATCAACCATCCGCTGCTTCCACGGGAGAACGTCAAGATTCAATGCAACAAGTTGACGGAGAGGGAATACATCACGCATGTGGTGGAGTGGAATCACGATGATGACGTGGATCCTGAGGACGAGGTGGCGGCGAAGAAGCTACATGATGTTGGGAGGGGAGAGCAGACGGGGAATGGGGAGTTTGTGAGGAACATGAGGATTGGGGATGTGGTGACTGTTTGGGGGAAGACGAGGTTCGGGGGCTGGATTAATAACATCTCGTCGGTGAAGGTGGAGGTTTATTGGTCGGTGTAGAGTCGAAGCTGGAAGAGATGGACTTGGGAGGCTGGACTGGTTGAGTATTGATACCTATTTTAGCAACAGTTGATGTTACTGTTTTTTGCTTTGTACCGTCGGCCTGTGTTCTGACTGAAACGTGTCTACCTAGTGTCTACCTAGAGTCCAATCAGCCAGATGAAAGTGCTTTCAAGTCAGCCGAGACTCGGGCCTACCGGCTGTCTATTGGGGCGAATTGCTGGGACAATGACAGGAATTGACGTTGGACTTTGGCCAGTTTCGCTACGGCACGGTCCACAAAGAAGGGGCCGAGTGGCTTGGTAAAGCGACTGATATGTGTAGGATAGCTGCCAATCGTACGTTTTATTTATTGTTCATGAGGCAGGATAGATCTCGTTCACCAATCTCGTGGGAATGAATGTACGTGATACGAACAAAGAGCTAGCCGCGAAACGACTTCCCAAAGTGCCCCGGCAGGAATGGGTGGAAGCCATCACAAGGTCAAGCGGCATCTCCCGTCCCGACTGGCTGATTCGGGCTGAGTTCTAGACCTGATAGCCATTACCACACTCTTCATTGAAGATATCTTTTTGTCATCGTCTTCCAATCAGCATAAACATCAGTAATCGACCGGTACTCCAATCACTTTCATAGGCCAGACTACGGGAGACCAACCTTTGTTCCCCTACCTATTCGGCTTCAGCAATCCCGCCAAGAACCACCCAACCACCACCTCGAAACGCATGAATGGATCACCGTAGGTAACCAAACCGGCAGTTCAGTTTGAAACGCTCAATAATTACTCCTTGGCTACCGCTCTTCCCGCGAAGATCATCCAAAAATACATCTTCAATGCCGTTGATTTCCTTTAGAAACCGCAAAAGACGGGTGGGGGGTTATCCCACCACACTTCTTCCTTCCCAATTGCATCCCTATCCATCCCCCTTTCCCGCATCCATCCCGCGCGGCATTGCATTCGGACATCATCACCAGCATCGGGTTCCTGCTTCTGGCTGGGGGGGATGTTGTCATGCAAGATAGCAACTGACAAGGCAATACCAAGCGGTGTTCAACGACTGAACACGGCAGGTCCAAGTGTTTTAGCTGCATAACCTCCTCGCGGTATGCACTCAAGCATCCTTCCATGCATATTCCATAACCCCTTGATAGAACGTTGACAGCTTGGCTCCCTCACCGAAATTGGAAGTTCACCGGCAATGGCATCCCCAAAAAGGCAAGTAGACTCCTCGCAAATACTTCAGACGCTTCAGCGCCGCCGTGAAGAGACGTGGAACGTGGGGGAAGGGGAAGACGAAAAACCATCAAGGTGTCTGTCTGTCCCTGATGACGACATATCAACCTTTCCCAAAAGGTACAGCCACAAACACCCAAAGCCAAACAAATTCGAAATCTGTTTTTGCTTTTCTTTTTTCACTATTTTTTTGGTTTTTTTTTGGGAATTGTATTTAGTACATTTTTATACATATGTGTCTTCCCCTCCTTCCCCTTTTTCCCCTATCCCATTCATCATCTCCAACAAAAAGCCCCTTGAGCTCTCCCACCTCCCACTTGGTATCTCATACATAAAAAACAGAAACCCACCACCCTCCCTGCCAATAAACAATCCCCCACACACAAAAGATGTAAACCAAATTCCCTAAGAAGTCCAATGTGCCCCCAATGTGATGATGATGCCATGTCTGTGTTATGAAGGGCCCATGTATCTCGTGGTTTAACGTTGAATGCCCCCTCTCCGTCGTGTCGTTCTCTTCATTGTAATACTCCAAGATATATAATCACCACCAAAACCCCCCAACTCACACCTCGATCAGCCAGGCCCATTACCCCCTAACTCGTCACCAATTCATCCATTCACAACAACAGGCCAAACAAACATAATCACGTAAGAAGCCACAGCCATGAAACCGCTAAAAAGCCATACAAAAAGAAAGAGAAAAACCATTTTGCTCGCTACATTCCATTGATTCCTTTGTGGTGGTATACTATAAGCTTCATGAGACAGACAATAACAACACGCAAACAGACAGAAAAAGAAAAACAACGCCCCGTATGTATGTAAATGCCCACTTTGTCCTCTTGTGTGAATGAAAAGCAAAAACAGGAAAATGCAAGCCTTCATCTTCTTCTTGACAACATCCATTCAAGACAGCACAGGGTGGGGAGGGGGGAAGAAAATAAAATGAAATAGGGCGGGAGAAAAAAATCACACCTATTTCCCCCCGTGATGAGCGAGTCTGCAACCACAACCACAGCCAAACTGCCATTCATCCATCAATACAAAAGACACATTTGCCCATGCCACAAAAAAAAAAACAAATGACCTTCTTTCCTCGTTCCTTTCTTTTCCTAACTTCTCCAATGAGTCCCACCCCTCCCCCGCTGTCCATCCTCATCATGTCGGGCCTTTGTATAAATTTCGTTTCCTTTTTCGTGTTCAGATACCCCCCACCCTATGCCAGCAGGCCTTGAAGAGTCCCATGCCTGTCCCTCGTGAATGCTGCTTGTTCCCCCAATCCTCTTCCAGACTGCGGAACAAGACTGCTGTAATCAAGTCGAGGGGAAAATTCAACACCCCCAGGGACCCAGATCGCAAAACCCAACCGCTAGGCCCTTGTCATGCTATTCGCTTTTGTTTTGCTGCCTGACTGGGCATGAACACGCTTTGTTTTCCCAATGGGGTCCCTTGAAGAACCCGATATCCCCGTCTATAGCCCATGATGCGCAAAACATGTGCGAGGAATATGCATAAAGAAAGCGCTGCTAGGTAGCAAAAGAGACGGCAACCGACGGTGGCCTGCTGACAGCATCCATATCTTGCTTCGGCGATATCGGCGACGTACGTTTCAGGTCGAGGTCTCCGAACGACCGTCTCGCTCTCGCCCGAAGTCGTGAAATCAAGTGCCCGCTCGCTTCCAGGCTCTGCTCGCCCCATCTCTCTCACATAGGTGGTCTAATCATATGATACAGGTTCGAACTCCAGGTGGGCTAACGTGCGACTAAATAAGTATTATGCTGCATACACCTCCGTTGAAGAGATCCTGAACAAGCTGTCCAATATAGAGCTTCATCTTTGGTCGCTTGGACCTGGACTGTGAGTATCCAAGAAAGCCCTGTCTTGTCTTGATACGCAATCCAGGGCATGTAGCAAGCAATCAACGGAGTGAATGCACCCGCATTCTCGAGCAGATATCTCCATTGCCATCGCCGTGGTCTACTGCTGCTCAGCCACCCTTGCGGTCGGCCTCATTTTTAGGCAGTTGCTCGCTTTGCGCAACGCCGTTGGTCCCATTCTTCAGGTCCGACAAACCCTTCTTGCGCGGCTTGGATTTCTGCCAGCTGTTGAAGCTATCAGACGGGCTTTTGGCAGAACGTGGGTTGCCAGATTCCCTTGAGCTTCCATGGGCACGGTGCTCCAAAACAGGCGATCGGTTCGAACTGTCGTGCTGCTTGGCGGAGGGTCCTGTCGGCGGCGTCTTTTGCGTCCCCGAACGAACGTCCCGATGTCCTCTAGGCGACTGAGCGACAACTGGTGGACCAAAACTCCGCAGGACGGTTGGGGACGGAGTCCGATGCTCGTAAACTGGCGAGAGGTGAGGCATGTCTTGAGCAACCGAGTACTCGTTAGTAGCTAGATCCAGTGGCGCAAGTTGGCGGTTGTTCAAGCGTGCCAAGCCCAGAATGTTGTTGGGGTCGTAGCCCATATGCGGGTAGTAGAGGTGAGTAGGAACAGCGGCCATGGTCACCCGCTGTTGAAACGACGCATCGTGGTGGTTCATGGTCGATGAAGGGGACCTGTTTGCTGTTGAGCCGTTGACAATGACAGGCCGATCAGGCACGGTGAGTGACACGGGCTCCGAAGAAGTGGTGGAATAAGAAACCGACTGGTCGTTCCACGAATTGTTGGCACTGGTGCCTTGTTGGATATAGAGCGGGTTGCTATGGTGGATGTCCTCTGTGGTCGTAGTCTCAACGCCAAGCGGCGAACGGTTGGAAGTTGATGCTTGAGCCAGCTTGGGCACTGAACCATTCACCACAAGCGGTTTTGCAGACAGCTGTCCGTTGGTCTGCGCAAATGGTGCCGATGGGAGTGGCGCCGACATACCGGCAGAAATAGTCCGGGCATGCCCGAGAGGCGATGGTGATCGCGATGTACGCTTCATCCTCCGATCCAGTACAGCCTGGGGTCCTTGGTCCGTGGACAATCGACGACGACCCTGGCTGCTCTGGTTCCGCGTGTTAAACACTGGTGTCCCACTTGGAAACCCAGTAACCTTGCGATTGGGACTAGCATGACCGTTGGGATAATGCCCCGCATAACGGGCGCCGTCGTCTTCTGGAGCATCGGCCACAACCTTGGGCTCTTCGTAGTCGGTTTCGGATAGCTCATCTGGGGTGTAATTGGACACCGGGACACCATTGACCTGTCGTGGGGGTATAGAGGACATGCCGTTTTGTGCTTGGCTTGCGGTGTACGCAGCCGCTGCCGACATGGCCTGCTGAACCGTGATCGAGCCTCTCGAAGCTGGCTGGGACTGCGACCTAAGGGCACCGCCAGAGGAGACACCCGTCTCACGAAGGTTTCTCCTGAATTCTGGCATTCCGTTGGAGGTGGTGGCCGCCGATGTCTGCGAAGCAGGGGACGAAGGGTATGTGGTGAAGCCCGGGTGGAAATAGGCCGGGGGCTGCATCGGAAAGCCGTACCCGTACATCAGATCTGGGCGGATTGGAGCTGTTAATGGCGGGTTGTCAAAAGAATTTGTCCGGGATCTGTCTGAGCCTGAGCCACCCTGCATTCGCTGGGCGTGTGCAAGAGCCTGTTGCTGGTTGATCTGCTGGGCATGGGTGTACAACTGGAATCTCAGGTTTTGATCGTGTTGTGCAAGCGCATTTAGCGAGGTTTGCAGAAGCTCCTGAGGAACACCAATCTGCGGGTTTTGAGCCTGATACCAAACCAATTCCTGCGGGTTCATCGTCGTAGGCATGCCAGCCTGCGCAAAAGGCATGCTCTGCTCGTAGCCCTGATGGTTGGAACCGCGGCGGTTACCCTGGTTACCGTTGCGTTGATAGTTGTTCCTCTGGCTTCGATTGTTGAAATTGTTGCGCTGCTGCGGCCTGGATTGCTGCTGTGAGGCACTCCTAAGAAGCACAGGCCGTGGAGGCGCCGATGGCTTTTCCCATCTTCTTTCTTCCTCCTTGGGGTATACGTACTGCTCCCAACATTCAGCAAACTTGCCCTCGGCAAGGAGATCAAAAGCCCTCCTCAGTTCGAGATGAAGACCACGGAACGAGGTGTCATCGGCCGTGTTACCCAGGTTTCGTATTATGTTGAACGGCTCCTCGATGCACAGAGTGTTGTTGGTGCCGATGTGCCATTTCTTTTCCGTCTTGGTCAACAGCTTGCCGACTCGTATTGACAATGCAAACTTGTCATAATCAAACTCGTATGCGTAGAACCGGAAGAATTGGAACAGAAGGGCTGCCAAGCTCTCCTTGTTCTTGGCACCGAATCCCGTCAGCTTTGGAACATCGTCGGCGAACTCGCTTCGAGTGCCGTCGCTCTTGAGAAGCTTCTCCTTCTGTCGTTGATGGAGCGCTGGCAATACCGGTGGGTCTCGGAGTTGGAGAAACGCGATGATCATGCATATCCAGGTATACGAGCTCAAAGTTCCGCCAAATGCCGCGTCATTGATGATTCGCCTCCGGGTCCAGTGCTTGATGATCATGGCCAAAGGTCGCACTCTTTCGTCGATACTCACATACGTCCGCACCATACGTGTATTCTCCAGAGCCAGAGTATTGTTGACGTTCATGTCGCAAGCCAGTTTGAGCTCGGGATCCCAGATCTTGACGATTGGCACCTTGGCCGCAGAGATGCAGACCACGTCTTGCATTCCATGTCTGTCGAGGAGGTCCGCTATTAGGCAAACATGCTCCAGTCCTTTCCATGGTGTTGTAATGCAGATATCAACTGTAAATGTCTTGTCAGAAACCCGGTTCGCGCCGGTCAGGGGGCCCAGGGATACTCACCATCAGAATCATCAGAGCACAGCAGGTTGCCCGACGAGCCAAACAGGTGCACCTTGATATCATGGCCAGGCCACTCGTCGTTGAACAGCTTCTCCAGCTTGTTGACCAGCTTTTGCCGCTTTGTTTCCACCTCTTGTGTTGGTAATAGCACCCTGAACAGATCGTTCATTTCTGTCTCCAGACTCTTCTCGTTTTCCTCAGATAACCGACTTGGTATCCTTTCGAGGTCGCCCTTTTCTAACCTATCGGTCCCCAGGTTGTACGGCATGCGCCGCCGTGAGTGGGGAATGGCAGTCTCAAAACGGCACCCACCTAACCTAGGGGGGAGCGGCCGTAATGATGGGACATTTCCGTTGGTCTCTGAGTAAGCGGACCTTGGAGAATGGTTTTGTGTGGCATTTGGTGATGGTTCACGGGACTCGAACGAGAACTTGCGGGCGTGCTGATGTGGCGTTGAAGGTACCGAACTCGACTGAGCTGGGTGCGCAGTGCCATTCTGGCTCGCAGGCGGTGGTGGACGCACCGGTACACCGTTGCTGGTGGGCTGTTCTGAAGGCTTCTTGACTGGCATTTTGGATGTCTGATCCTTCCCTGATGTTATAAGCGCGCGGTCGGCGTTGTCTGAAGGCTTTGCTGGTCTGCTCCCATGACCGGTCTGGGCACCAGTTTTGATGTGGGTGTTGTCCTTGTTCGACACCTTGGAAGATGATCTCGACCTTGTAGTTGTCTTGGTCGATGGAGACGAGAGCACCGTAGGAAGCGGGGGAGCTTGCAACCCACCACCACCACCACCACCCCGACCACTCGAGAGAAGTCTGTTATACTGGAGCAGCTTGCCCTGATAGGCCTGTTGTTGAGACAGGATGGGCAGAATGTCGGCGTAGTACGGTGAGTATTCGGGCGTCGCGGCCGTGTTTAACCGGGGGGTTGTCAGGTTTGGCCCAACACCCGGCCACGGATGGGTCTGGTAAAGATGTTTAGTTTCAGCCGCGGTGGGCTGGCCGTCCATTAAGCTTGAACTCTGCAGAACGACAAGCGAAACAGTTCAGGTGCTGCGAAGCCGAAAAGGATCGGCCGAGGAGGTACTTCGCTTGGAGAACCCAGAAGCCGATTGCCTTGGACTGCTGCTATGTACACTACCGGTAGCGATGCTAAGAGTGACAGACTAAAAGCAGTTGAAAGTCGTAACCTGATTTGAGGTTGAGGAGATCGATTGAGGGCGCAGCAGCACACTTGGTGATGACAGCTGTCGGCCCTGTTTGGCTTGTTTTTCCTGTCTGGTAAAAAGACTCCAAGTCTTCCCTGCAAGCTAATGCCACGGAGAGCTGTCTCTTGAGCTGCCAAACTGCCGTTGGTTGTCGGGAACCAGCAGGTTCAGTGGTCGCGGTCCGAATCCCAGAGGCACAAAGAGTGCAAATGGCAGAAAATCCGCTACACCCGGGATGTGGGTATTATGACCGATCGAAGAGCGATTTCTGTGGCGACAGACCCGTGTCGGCAATTTCCCAATAACAAAACGCAAACTTGGATATGGACGGCTGCGGTTTGCTCCGGCTTCCTGTTCGTCACAACTTTCTTTGGCTCGTCAACCAGCCTCGCGCAACCGAGGTCGCTGTGGAAGAATCGGTGAGCGGCAGCAGGTAGGATGACGCAAATGAGTGCTCGGTGAAGGGGAGCAGATTCGCAGGATCCGTGAAAGCCAAGCGGACAGAGAAAGTAAGTCGACCGTTAACTGATCGCAAACTAAGAACGAGTCGTAGACGGGTCGTGTCGAGAGGGTAGGTAGGTTCTCGAACGGGGTGTGTTAACCGCGAGCGACGGCGAAAGAGTGCACGGTTGGCATGGAAGGAATAACGCGCGAGGTTGGCTAAAGAACGCGAGACATGCGGTGTCTGCTGGGTGTCGGTCGGAGCAGAGAAACCACAAAAAAGAACAAATAATACAAGGGAAATCAGACCGTGGTGATACTGGGGGCGTGACCGACCGGGCGAACGCGTGACGGGCGTCGACTTGGTTTTTGCTGTGGCAGCGGGAGAGGCAGGTTGGAAAGAGCCGGTGAGCCCTGGAAAAGGAGGACGGGACTGATGATGTATGCTGTAGTATGGTGGGGACTTGTGCCAGCGTCGAGCTGGAAGCGCAAGGCGAGTCTCGAGGTCAGGGGAGGGTGTGTCGAGAAAAAGTGTAGTAGAGAGGGAGACTGGTCGAAGTTGGATTTAGAATCGCAGTCGGCTCGCTTCCATTGAGAGAAAGATGCGGCCCTACCTTGGGTGGATAGCGAGGTGTGTAGTTGCGGGAAACCTGGGTGCAGGTGGTTGCTTTGCTTTCCAGCAGCAGCGGAGCGGCCAGCAGTGAGAGAGCAAGTGCCACACACAACCGACAGGGGCCCAAGGCTAACAAAAAGGAGCACATCCAATATTAAGCCAGGCGACTCCTTACTCCACCAGCCCGAACCTCTCAGCCAGTCAGAACTCGTCTCTCTGCCAGAAGTGTGCCCGCCCCCGCTAAAACAGAATGCGTTCGAGCACCCTCTACCCAGTGTGAGAGCGTCTATTCTATACCTACCTTGAGGTCAGGTAGATAGATATTCAAATTCCAGAGAGCGGGCACCCGGCAGCTATGACCTAGGAAGTAGTCTCAACTCTGTCGCTCACCATCGCCCACCATGACCAGCACCAATGGGCAACGGTTGTCCTCAATTGAAAGAGAACAGAGAGTGGGGGAGCCAGGGAGCGCAGCCCGGCCCCGGGCTTACCGTACCGGCGACTCAGGCGCCCCCCTTGGCTTGTGCTTTGTTCCCAACGCCTCAGACGGAATTCTTTACTCTCGTTTTCCGCTCACCTAGTCGCTTTCTTTGGGGGCAAGGCAATGCAATGCAACGCAGAAAGCCGAAAGTGCAGAGAGAGGTGCCCTGCCCAGAGAGGTGCCCAGAGAGGTGCCCGGAAAGTGTTCGTCCTGTGCTTGGCGGGGTACATTGGACTTGCCCTCCACGGGTGGGTGTTGGTCGGTGGATGATCTCACTGCAGATGCCAGTCTGGCTGGCAGTAGCACACATCAGCAGCATCTTACCTTACCTTACCTTACAGATGCCGCTTTGGATCATCACCACTGCCACTATCTGCCCATTCCTTCCCCAAACGGACATCTTCAAGAGTCAGTCCTTCGCTACAAGCCCAAGGGTCCTTGCCAGCAGTTCCAGGTAGAACCTCGGGCTGGATGTCTCAGCATCCAGGACCACACAGACAGTGGTTTCGTTTTATGCCCACCTGTGGATTTTTTCATCTCAACTTCCGTCGCAAGTACCCATAAGTTTCACAGCATGATGCATTTGAACCTGGCATCTGGGAAAACCTTTTCGTCGAGTCCAGCCCTGCGATCTTGCAGCAGGTTTTTTCCACCCCAGGTTGTCGCTCCTGCTCCTGTCGTCCCAAGCCAGAGACCGCCAATGCCGTCACTGTCAGTCTATCCTACGCTCGTGACAGCTGTGATGCTCAGTCCAACATGCATTTATGATGGTCAGCGCCCCAGCTGAGCCGCAGAGGAGAATACGGCACCCAGGAACCTGGTCCTTTTCCCCGGATTCTCGGGCTCGGATCAGTCATCACCCAGAGAAACAGCCACAGACTTGCACGACGGGAGATGTATGGACCATTATGGTACGACTTGGGGTTCAAGGACAAGCCAGGCACCAGGCATCCCCCAGGCCCCAGGTATCTGGGTCCAACGCTCCCGGTGGCCGGTGGCAGAGCCATCTAACTACAGGGAAGACGGTTCCATTATCATGCTCATCAAGTCACCGGACCCGATTAGGATCTCGGCCGGTGAAGAATCACTAGGCGGTGCACGACGGATACGCGAGGGCCGTATACAGAACCGCAACCTCAATTCGCCGGCCCCTTCGAGAGCCGCACAGTACGCCCAAAAGTGAAGGGCATTCATTCTCACAGCTGGTGCTTCCTAATCGCCAGTTTCTAGGACAGTGTGGCTTACTTGTGATGCAGGACAATGTCACCTTGCCCGAAGGCTGTTGCTCGCAGAGCCGGTCATCTGAAGTTTTGCTTGGACTGGCTGCTGATGTCCGGACATTGATGACACCTAGCCGCACCATCTTTGGATGAGCCACCTCAGTCAAACCCCTCCTGCAAGGCACCGCACACCATCGGAACTCCTTCTTCCCATTGCTTACCTACTCCGCAGCTACTCGCTGGATATTCGAGGGCAACTGTGGAAATGCTGACAGCTAAGCAGCAGTATCGGCATAAACTTCTCTGGCAAAGCGCTGGTTAACCACCGTCATTGTTTGACCATGTTTGCGATCTTACTTCCGGGACTGACATGGTTTGCTTTGATCGTACGGTCATGCTCTCATGCTCATCTATACAGCCAAATTTCCAACAGCCCGGCCACACCACACTGTCCCACCAAGTGTCTTTGAATGGGTCGCCTCTCTTCGAGTTCGCAAAACTACTGCAGCTCTATAGTTTCAGTGTCTTTTTTCGGCTCTCTGGCGTGTGATTTCTTCCGGGTCGTAGCATCATCGCCCATGCGGCTGGGCTAGCGTCAAGCCACCCGCTGAGCTTCTTCATCGGATCCCGACTCGGAGGACGGAGGTTGGGGATGGAGATGTGCTTCTTTGGAATCTCGGAGGCCGCTGTTCCCTCAGCAATGGCACTGTTCCCCACATTGATTTGTTTCTCTTGCTATCCTCTCTTGCGTACTTAAGTCTCAATTTGCGTAAGTTTGTCCAGTTGCTGGAAACTAGTTGTCCCGCCGTCACTTAACTGGATCTCCCGCTTCGAAGGTCCTGGAGAGCATAGCGTGCTTCTTGCAAGTGCTGGTGATCAAGACTGCTGAGAGCGTATCGGTTCGTCTTTTAATTAGCCTGGAGGCCGTTTTTTCTTTTATTTAACTTAAACAAGGTTGCGCGTCCCCCTTTGGCTTGGGTCCTGGAACACTATTCGTAGCTCAAAGCAGCTGCAGGTCCTCCAGCGGGAACACGCGAACCAAAGCCGATGTACCGAGAGTTGCGTGGAACTCGTTGACCAATATGGACATGGCAATCTAAACGCTGGGCAATGCTATGTCTATGTAGTGCGGTGGTTTCTATTTCTAGCCGCTTCTTTTCCTTCTCTCTCGGGGTCTGGGAGGCTACGGTATGTTCCTTGCAGGGGAAAATTCTTGACAGATAGAGAGATACAACATCACTGGCATCATGCTGTGGTTTGTTGAACATACGCACGGGCATACCTGCCAAGGGTGATCGGCTTGTGTAGTATAGTTCATTCCTCCGACAATCTAGATCTGTTCGCTTTAGGGAACGGCGATCCTCACCAAAGACCGATGACGATTTTGTCCTCCCTGTGAGGTGTGTCGGGTAAGGGGAAGCTTGAAACTTGACAAGAATTCAACGACATTTCCGCCAGCCGAGGCTGTCCGGTCACTTGTCGAGTCTTCGATCGAGGGAATACAGTTTCAATTGAGGCTAATTGAAACCACAATATGAGCCCCCCCGCCCCCCACGTATCTTGTCCTTTATTTTTCTTTGACGTCAACAAAAAAACACACAAATCCCGTTTTCTTTGTTCGACTGTTGTAAAACCGTTGGAAGAAGATTGGGGCCAGGAATCGCTCCTTGGGACCCCGCAATTCATCCAGCCAATCGGGACTCAGGAGCCGCTCTTTCACCAGGCCAAGAGTCGCTGACATCAGCAGCAAGGGGACAAGGCCCGGGGGGGGGGTGGGGGGGCAGGGTCAGCTAACCCCAACCCTCCGTTGAGCTGGGACCCCTCTCTTGAACGTGGTGAGTGGGGCAGCTGAGTTCCACTTCCTCCAACGGCCGAGCCGGGTCTGTCATGGTCTCTTGGTCAGGGGTAGGGTTAACTTTCGACAGGGCCCTTTTCCCAGACACGACGACCTGCGACGTTATCTGCTTCAAAAGTTATCGACGGCTTGTGTTTAGCTGCGTCTATGGTAGCCGTGGCCTGGGGGTTTATGTTTCATGATTTTCATCTTGGTTTTCTATTGATTCCCTTTGGTAGGGCGATCTTGTTTCCTTCTGTTCTTCTTCAGGGGGGTTTTCCTGAAGCGGTCGGTTTGTCGCGATCCCTGAAAATAAGCATTTGACGCGATTGATATCAAGACCCTGCTTTCCCCCTTTTTTGTTCCTCTTGACCTTGCAAAGTTGCAACCGTCATTTGCTTTTGGGTTTTCTTCGGTCGGTCTTTTTCTATTTTTCTAGGCATTCAGGAACTTTCCGTTTTAGCAAGACGACAGTCGGAATTGGGGCATTCACAGCATTGCAAGGAGACACCAAGCAAGATGTTCTCCGGCCTGGCGCAAAAGGCAGCGCTCAAAAAAATCGGCTTGCCATCTGACACCTTCTCACAAATCTCCAACGCCTTCAGCAATGACACCTCGTCATCACCACAACCGTCCAGGCAACCAAACAAACTCAGGAAATCACCCCCAGACCCCAACAACACCGACAACAAATCCTGGTTCTCGGTTTCCTCCCTCCCACTAACCGTCCAACCCTGGCTCTCCCCACCACCACCCCCAGTCCCAGTTTCCAAACCCCCCAGAATAGGCGACCTAGCTCCCACGGACCCAGACCGCATCTTATCACCGCAACTCGGCCCCTCAGGTGGAAACCGCAAGACAATCGTTGTCTTTCTCCGCTGCGTCGGTTGTGCCTGTAAGCTCCCCATTCGTCCCACCCCTCTCACAAAACAGCACATATCTAACCTCCCCCAAAGTCGCCCAACAAACCTTCACCGACCTCCGCAACCTCTCCCTCAAACACCGCGATGTAGCCTTCCTAGCAGTATCCCACTCCTCCCCCGCCGCCACAGAGAAATGGGTTTCCCTCATCGGCGGCAAGGGCAACGTCAAGATCGTCTACGACCCCCAACGCAAGATCTACGCTAGCTGGGGCATGGGGACGGGTGGGTGGGGCTACTTGCTGAACGTGAACACGCAGGTGAACGGGTTCAAGACGAAGGGGTGGTTGGGAACGACTGTGGCGGCGAGTGTGGAGAGGACAGAGGGGTTTAGTTCGATGAAGAGGCTGGGGCAGGGGGAGGTGGAGGAGGGGATGAAGATGGGGAATAAGTGGCAGGAGGCTGGGGGGTGGGCGGTGGATGGGAGGGGGAGGGTGGTTTGGGGGGGGAAGCTTGCAAAGGCGGATGAGAGTTTGGGGTTGGAGGAGGGGGTGAGTCTGTTGAAATTGTGATGATGAGAGGGGGTGAAAAGTAGGGTTTGTTATGATGTGATGATTTTGGGGGTTTACTTTGGAGTTTAGGCGTTTGTGTATCGAATATTTGGGTGGGCATGGGATCTGAATACGACCAGGATCAGAACGGAGCTCAACATGAGCTTGCTAAGCCCATGAAAATGCCATTCAACTCATTCCAATCCCTGAACTTTTGTTCCACCATCTCTGGAGACTCTTCTGCAATAAGACTCTAAAAGGGCTAGATCTCACCCCCATCCACTCCAGGCGCTTACTCACCCCTAGCCCAGCACCATCACGTTTCTCCTACCCTCTTTCTGCTTCTGATTGGCCAATACGGCATATAAACGTCTATTGCAGAATGTATTGGCTGACATCTATCCGTACCTAACCTAAACCCTCAACATTTCCTACAGGGGCGAGGCTAGGCTGCACCTCGGCCACCACCACCACCAGCATCCATTGCGGATCAAATTCCGCTTGCAAGGCCAGATCACAACCGGTCTGGCAGTCAACTCGAGGCTATGTGCAGAGGACACAGTAAG